GTAATTTTAAAGAGCAGAGTTTTAAACAAAATTTTAAAAAACAAAACAAACATTCGATGGGAAAAATAAGATTTGTAAATCGCGCGTCAGAAAGTTGTATTTTAAGAGGATCTGTCAAAGAGTAAACTCAGTATTGCTCTCTTGATTTTATTTTGCATCCATTGTTTCATATCTTTTCACTCTTCATTTACTCATTTACTTAAATTACTTATTTCTTCCGTCTAGGATTCCATCTGGATCTATTGTTCAGCTAATTCTTGGAGTGTCAAAAACAAACGTGAAGGTTGGTGACATTGTTCATTGGTATTTGCATTAAAATGGGCGATATAATCCATACAGAAACAGATAGAGTGCCAAGTCCTTGTAGACTGGAACACTTTAGTGATAAACATCCTAAATACACTTTAGAAGCATTACACTCTTTGCGAAAAAGGAGAGAATTATGTGATGTCGTTTTAATTGTGTCAAAAAGGAAAATTTTAGCTCATCGAGTTGTATTATCTGCATGTAGTCCTTATTTCCATGCAATGTTTACCGGCGAGCTCCAAGAAAGCCGTCAAGCTGAAGTTGAAATCAAGGATATTGATGAGCATGCAATGGAATTATTAGTAGATTTTGCATATACTTCTCATATTGTAGTCGAAGAAGGTGAGTTTATTGATCAAAATTTCATTTCACTTTATTTAATTCAATATTTTACTTACTTAAATAGGTAACGTGCAAGTTTTACTGCCTGCTGCATGTTTGCTTCAAATGACAGAGATCCAAGAAGTCTGTTGTGAATTTTTAAAAAGGCAACTTGATCCTAGTAACTGCCTCGGAATCCGGGCTTTCGCTGATACTCATTCCTGTCAGAAACTCTTCCATTATGCTGATAAATTTACTCAAGAAAGATTTCAAGAAGTCATTGAAAGTGAAGAATTTCTACTGCTTCCAGTTCACCAGTTGATCGATATTATCTCTAGTGATGAGCTGAATGTGCGTTTGGAAGAGCAAGTTTACAACGCAATCATGTCATGGGTTAAATATAATGTTGCTGAACGACGACAACACTTACGTCTGGTATTAGAGCATGTACGTTTATCTCAATTAACAGCTAAATTTTTAGTTGGCACCGTTGGGTCAGATATTTTAATCAAAAGTGATGATGTGTGCCGAGATCTTGTTGATGAAGCTAAAAATTATCTTTTGCTTCCAAATGAGAGAGCTATTATGATTGGATCAAGATTTAGACCACGTAAACCTATTAGGAAGGGCGAAGTATTATTTGCAGTTGGAGGTTGGTGTAGTGGTGATGCCATTTCTAGTGTTGAAAGATATGATCCTAATACAAATGAATGGAGAATGGTAGCTCCGATGAGTAAACGCCGATGTGGCGTCGGCGTCGGTGTTCTTAATGATCTTCTTTATGCTGTTGGAGGTCATGACGGGCAATCTTATCTCAATTCAATTGAAAGGTAAAATTAAAAAGCACAAGTCCCGAGTTTAAAATACTAGTGTTATAATCCTCTTTTCTCATCTTTCAGATATGATCCTCATACAAATCAATGGTCTACCGATGTAGCCCCAACAGACTCCTGTCGTACTAGCGTTGGTGTAGCTGTTTTAAATGATTGTTTGTATGCAGTTGGTGGACAAGATGGAGTTTCTTGTCTGAATTATGTTGAAAAGTATGTATCGGATCAATTTTATGTATTCTTAAATATAATTTTGAGTAATTGATAATCATTTTCATCTTCCTTTTTTAAGATATGACCCAAACACTAATCGTTGGACTAAAGTTGCTCCGATGAGCACTAAAAGACTTGGCGTTGCAGTTGCTGTTTTAAATGGATATTTATACGCTGTCGGTGGATCTGATGGATCATCACCTCTCAATACAGTTGAAAGGTACGATCCACAATTTAATAAATGGTCAATGGTTGCACCAATGTGTACTAGAAGGAAGCACTTGGGCTGTGCTGTTTATAATAATATGATTTATGCTGTTGGAGGACGAGATGATACAATGGAACTTAGTTCTGCCGAACGATATGACCCTCGATCCAATCAATGGCAACCAATTGTGGCCATGACTTCTCGACGATCTGGTGTGGGTTTAGCTGTTGTTAATGGTTATTTGTATGCTGTTGGTGGTTTTGATGGAAACACTTATCTTAAAACATTTGAAGTATACGATCCAGATAAAAACCAATGGAATTTAAAAGGCTCTATGAACTATCGTAGGCTTGGAGGTGGAGTTGGAGTGATTAAAAATATCCATGAAAATGGCCCTATACCTCAGATAAGTAATGCAGAGATTCAGTACTTTTGTAAAAACGACCAACCTACAGTACGAACCAACAGTAAACCTTGTCGATAAATTGGTGTTTAAAAGTATTGGTTAAATTATTTATTTGTTACTCCAATGAGCTACCTGACGAAAAGTGGAAAATCCGCTAGCCTCCAGCCGACCTGTTAGGGGCGGCCTCGGCTGGATATGGTTTTCGCCTCTTTTATCCGTAATGCTGCCGGTGTTCAAGAAATCAGAAAAATACTTGGTGAGGAGGGTAAAGACATTAAAATGATCTCTAAAATTGAAAACCATGAAGGTGTTAAAAAGATAGACGAGATTATCGCAGAATCAGATGGTATTATGGTAGCTCGAGGAGATTTGGGTATAGAAATTCCTACTGAGAAAGTTTTCTTAGCACAAAAAATGATGATCTCTAAATGCAACATGGTGGGTAAACCGGTCATCTGTGCAACCCAAATGTTAGAAAGTATGATTAAAAAACCTAGACCCACTCGAGCTGAAAGTTCTGATGTGGCCAATGCAGTTTTAGATGGAGCTGATTGTGTTATGCTTTCTGGTGAAACGGCAAAAGGAGAATATCCAATCCAAGCTGTTTCCGTAATGGCTGCTATTTGTTTAGAAGCTGAAGCTGCTATGTTCTCTAAGGTATTTATAATTCTCATCTTTATTCTCACTTATCCAATCTTTTTTTTGTTTGCAAATGCCATTTTTTAAAAAATGATCTGAGTTAATTTCTCTTTTGTATTGGTTCATCACTCATCCGCAACTTAATTTCCACTTTATCTACCTTACTCTTACTATCTCACCGTCTTTCCTCTTATTGTCATTTACAGCATATCTTCATTGAACTGAGCGCCAACACACCATCACCAACTGATTTAACAACGACCATGGCAATTGCTGCAGTAAACGCCTCTCTTAAATATATGGCATCTGCAATTGTTGTGCTTACAACAACTGGTAGAACTGCTCATCTCATCTCCAAATATCGACCTCGTTGTCATATTATTGCTGTTTCTCGCCACGCACAGACAACACGTCAAGCCCATTTATTTATTTATTTATTTATTTATTTATTAAGTCCAGATTATAGCCTGTGAACTCTCATTCTGGCAATGTATGTTAACCTGTAATCACGCTCTTGCGAATAGTCATGGTGTAACAGGATTCTCAACTGAAAATTAAAGAAATTAATTTTAATGTTCTTTGAATAATTGAAAACAATTACTCTGATGTTTTTTATTCATTTGATTAGATTATATTTTCTCAACACGTCAAGCCTATTTATGGCGAGGACTCTTACCAATCTGTTTCACCGGTGATCGAGCTGGTGACTGGCCTCAAGAATTTGATGAGCTTATCCAAGCTGCTATTGATTTTTGTAAAGCTCGCGATTTCATGCGAACTGGTGATTCTGTAATCGTTGTCACTGGATTTAGAAAGGACCCTGGCTCTACAAACACCATGAAAATTTTACAATCTAAACGAGTTTAATAATTTGATTGATTTGTATTTTTATTCGTTACAAAGCAAACAATAACATTTATTGTTAAATTAGTTTTATTTCCATATTTTGAAAATTATAGTCTGTCAACTCTCATTCTGTGAATCTATGTTAACCTGTAATCACGTTGTTAACGCTCTTGCGAATAGTCATGGTGTAACAAGATTCTTATCTGAACATTAAAGTGGAAATTTAAGTGCAACTAGCTCACCAGTCCTTCCATTAATCAAAATAAGTCCTTCATCTAATGGAAGTAGCTGTACACCTCGTGAATCTTTACAAGAACCTTTATCATGTACATCTTCGCTCAGTTCAAATCCACCATCAACTCCGGAAGAAGATAATACTAAATCACATTCTACGAAACATCAAATACATTAGCAAAATATTTCTCATGTTCACCATTCAAATTACCTATTCAATCTAATCTTACAAAAAATTGGTGATAAGAGTAGTGGAAGTAGCAGTTGTAATAGCAGCAGTAGTCGTGATTGTAATAACATCGATGATCCTCACCAACGATCTTCACCAATTGATGAGAACCATGCACAAACAACACCTCCGTCTCATCCACCTCCACCACCACCTACTCGTCCGGAGAAGACAAAATCCATTTATACAAGGCCATATGTAAATCTAAATTTCCTGGGTTAACCAATTCTCCAGTTTCAGTTTCCAACATTAACAATACTACACCATCTTTAAATGTATCTGCAAACAATTCAGTTCCATCACAACCAAAAGAAGTAAATTCACCTACAACACCCTTAGCAACATCTGAATAAGCCTCCAACGACACCTAAAAATTCAGATAACAACTTGAACATTCATCCAACCATAGATGAAACCATCGATGCTGTCAATAACCTTTCAATAGATCCTAAACCTGGTCATAATAACAACATGACCGTGTTAAATAACAGTGTCAACAAAACCAAAACAATTACCAAGGAATGTGTGAATAATAATATTAATATTGCTATTAATAATAATAACAATAATATTAATAACTTAAATAACAACAAGCAAACTTATTTGCCCAACAACATTAAAAGTGCTGATAAAGTAAATGCCAATAATCTTGGTAAACTAGGTAAACCAGATAAAAACGGATTACTCGAGAAAAAGAAAATGTCCGATGAAGAAATTATGGATAAATTACGTAGCATAGTGACCATTGGTGATCCTTATAGAAAATATTCAAAGATTGAAAAAATCGGTCAAGGAGCCTCGAGTGTTGTCTATACTGCTATCGAAGTATCAACAGGAATGGAGGTTGCAATTAAACAAATGAAACTTGTTCAACAACCAAATCAGGAGCTTATAATAAACGAAATTTTGGTAATGAAGGAAAATAAGCACCCGAATATTGTTAATTATCTAGATTCATATTTGTTTGGTGATGAATTGTGGGTTGTTATGGAGTATTTACCTGGTGGGTCTCTGGTAGACGTTGTTACCGAAACTTGCATGGATCAGGGTCAAATTGCTGCTGTGTTAAGGTTAGGTGTTAGGGTTAAGTTGTTTCTTTTTAATTTAGAGAAATTTTACAAGCTTTGGAATTTTTACACTCAAATGATGTCATTCACCGGGATATTAAGTCAGATAACATTCTCCTTGGTATGGATGGCTCAGTAAAATTAACCGATTTTGGTTTTTGTGCTCAAATCTCCGCTGAACATAACAAGAGGACAACTCTTGTTGGTACACCTTATTGGATGGCTCCAGAAGTAGTCAACAAAAAACAGTATGGTCCAAAAGTCGATATCTGGTCTTTAGGAATATTAGCCATTGAAATGATTGAAGGAGAGCCTCCATATTTGAATGAACATCCTCTTAGGGTAATTATTATATTCACGCCCTAACTTTTCAAAAAATTATTCATCCAATTTTGAAAAGAAATTTCTTCCTTGTTTTTTTTCTCTATCATTTGATTGGCGGACTTCTTTTGATCATCTCTTTGGTAACCATTCATCTCTATTTACTTTTTCATCTTATTTATTTTAGGCTCTTTACCTGATCGCCACCACTGGCAAACCAGAAATTAAAGGTAAGGATAAACTTTCAGTTTTATTTCAAGAATTTCTGGACAAGTGCCTTGAGGTTGATGTGGATAAACGATGGTCATCATCAGAGCTTCTTAAAGTAAGTTTACATCATGATATTATATTGATTGAATCATATCAGCAGTCACTCTATAATTGCTTTAAATAACTGTCAACCCTCAATCTTTTCCTTTCCTCACTCACTTACATGACAAGCTATCAAGAATAAGTCATGACAAGCTATCTATAAGAAAAATAATCAAAAAAAGTTTTGCTGCTAAACCTCTAACAGTAGTTTTGAATAACGAAGAAACGTTTTGTTGAAGTTGACTAAATCATCGCCACCATTTTGATCATAACTTATTCTAATTTATATTTAATTTTTCAATATAATTATTTTCATCATTCACATTGATTGACGAACCATTGTTGGATTCAAATTATTTAATCGGAGCAAGTTTTAAGGTCGCAGCCACTTGATTAAAACTCACTAGGTAAGTGAAAAAGGATCTTTCATATTGATTTTTTGATTTGTCTTGTTTATTTATTGGATTTATATTATTATTGCTTAATCAATATCTTACCTTGCTAATTGTTATTATTAAATGTGCTTCTTGTTTGGATCTTAAGCTCTAACTCAATTTAAGATTCATCTTTACTGTCTAGTATCTTTTTAATCTCACTGACTTGAAGGTTTACCTTATGAATCAATTATCCATCTAGTCTCATCGATGCAACTCTTACAATCTATCTCGTCTACCGTTTAAATCTTTACCCCGTTACAAATTTTTATCGTATAAAATGAAATGTTTACCTAAATCATTGAAATTTTTAACTTGGTGTAATCTTATTTAGTAACTGCTAATCAACTTTATGTTAGGCTAATGCTGTTTTGCGTCCGACGCTGGAAAATTAGTCCAACTTTTAACAGGTAAATACAGTATGAACTCTTAAGGTACATTTGTACTAACTAAATCTATTGTTCTTTTTAATGGTCTGATGAAATGTTTGAGTTGTCTCTCATATAAATACTGTTATGATGAATTATAAGTTTGTTATTTGAACTGAGTAAATCGTTAATTTCTTGATTAGACAAGATTAAAGATAAATATCCTCTCATAGTTCACTTTCTTGATCATTTCATTTCAAGCATCATTATTTTTTGCTTCAATGTAACTCTGTTCTAATTTTTTTTCTTATTCTGTTTCTAATTTTTCATTTTTATTAGCTGTTTATGTGACCAAATGATGGATTTCGAGGCAAAGTCAAACACCCAAATGCTTCTCAATGGGAATACAGAAACTTCCAATGAATTGATAAATTCAAACATTAGTTACAAGGAAACTTTGTCCAAGCTAATGGAATATGACAGCGCTTTTCTGTTTTGAAAAAGCTTAATCCTACTAATACGAAAGATGCAAGAAAGAAGCTCAATGTAATCACTGAACTTTTGAAGTGACTCGATATAGAATTGGATGATTTGAACAATCTTAATATTATTCATATTGTTGAACTAAAGGCGAAGGCTCAACATGTGCCTACATTGAATCAATTTTACGGTGATTCAATTTTATTTTGGTTGCGAATTCGACTGTACAAATATTGTCCCAAAACCAATTGTTACACGTATAACATCACTTGGTATTGATCATACTTCTGTTTTGGGTGATACTTTGGAATCTATCGCATGGCATAAGGCTGGTATAATTAAAGCTAATGTTGTTTGTTTCACATCTTCTCAACCTGAACCAGCTATGCAAGTTATTCGCAATCGGTCAATTGAAAAAGACACTGAAGTTATAATTTGTCCACCGATGGAAAACTATGAAAACCTTACACCTTATAAAATCAATTTAGGTATTGATGGTCACGTTCAAAGGGTCAATGCCTCTCTTGCTTTACAAATATCTCGGTATTTTCATTTGAAGATGACTTCTGCGGAGATTAATCCAAAAGAATTGATAGCGTTAGGCAATGGTTTCGCTCTGGACAAAGAAGAAGTTTCAGGATTAGTAAAAACAAATTGGCCTGGTAGATGTCAACTAATTACCAAAGGAAGGGTTCATTATTTCCTGGATGGTGCCCATACTGTTGAAAGTTTAAATAATTGTTGCATTTGGTTTAAACAAAAATCATATCTTCAGTCATCCAATGAAAAAATAATCCGCATTTTATTCTTTTTTTCGGCCGGTCTCCGCCAATATGAATCTTTGATTCAAAGAGTTGCTCAGGAATCGTTTGATGTCGCTGTTTTTCCTTCAAATTATATTGAAAATATTTCAATTTATCCTGAAATTATGCTGGATTCTCGATTTGAAATTGATAAGATCTCTGATAGAATCAACAAAACAAGAGAAATGTGGCAAGCAATACAAAAAGACCTCAACAGAAATCCTGATAATTTTCACCAATTTTCAAGCTTAAATAAAGCTTTAGATTTCTTGGATTCAAATGAATTGATTGAAAAATATGGGGTTCAGGATGATTTCAAGCTTCATGTTCTAGTCACTGGTAGTCTAATTTTTGTTGGCAATGTCTTAGCACTTATAAATCCTGATACATCATTTCATCTTTAAATGGATCTTGGAAAAAGAAATAAATAATTCCAGTCTCAAGCATTTGGCTGCTTTGGATATCGATTCTAGACCACCTCTTGTTCGACAAACCGGAATAATATGTACAATCGGTAAGTATTACGACAAACTGTCCTTCTTACATTTTTTATATGTTTACTGTCAAGGTCAAAATAGAACTAAATATTAATATATTGAATCAAAATTTGATTTGATATTTTATTTCTATAACCTTGGCAAAAATAGTTTTATTGATTTGAGTGGTCTTTTCCTTTAAATGGATCTTACAAATAAGTACTTCCAATTGACTTATTAACTATTTCAATCCAAACAAATAAATTGATCAATGGTTGCTTTACTATCTTTACTCAGGTCCTGCCTCTCGAGAAGTACCGAAGCTTATTCAAATGATGAAAGCCGGTATGAATATTGCTCGAATGAATTTCTCTCATGGAACTTATGACTATCATCAAGGAACCATTGACAATGTTAGAGAAGCTGTTAGGCAATTGAGTGCTGAATATGGAGTTGGTGAACATCCTGTTGGAATTGCTTTGGATACTAAGGGACCTGAGATCAGAACTACTCTATTAGCTGGCGGTCCTTCTGCTGAAGTTGAATTAGTTCGAGGAGCTACCATCAAAGTCACTACTAAAGATAAATACATCGATAAATGCTCTGCTGAAATTTTACACTTGGACTATAAAAATATAGTCAAAGTTGTTTCTCCTCATTTCGCCAAGACATTAAAATTATCTCTAAAATTAAAAACCCGGAAGGTGTTAAAAAGATAATTACCGGATCACGAGATTACCGGTGATCGAGCTGGTGACTGGCCTCAAGATGTTGATGAGCTTATCCAAGCTGCTATTGATTTTGGTAAAGCTCGCAATTTCATGCGAACTAGTGATGGTATGGCTGCTATTTGTTTAGAAGCTGCTATGTTCTCTAAGGTATTTATAATTCTCATCATCTTTATTCTCACTTATCCAATCTTTTTTTTGTTTGCAAATGCAATTTTTTAAAAAATGATCTGAGTTAATTTCATTTTTGTATTGGTTCATCACTCATCCGCAACTTGATTTCCACTTTATCTACCTTACTCTTACTATCTCACCGTCTTTCCTCTTATTGTCATTTACAGCATATCTTCATTGAACTGAGCGCCAACACACCATCACCAACTGATTTAACAACGACCATGGCAATTGCTGCAGTAAACGCCTCTCTTAAATGTATGGCATCTGCAATTGTTGTGCTTACAACAACTGGTAGAACTGCTCATCTCATCTCCAAATATCGACCTCGTTGTCCTATTATTGCTGTTTCTCGCCATGTTAACCTGTAATCACGCTCTTGCGAATAGTCATGGTGTAACAAGATTCTTATCTGAAAATTAAAAGAAATTAATTTTAATGTTCTTTGAATAATTGAAAAAAATTACTCTGATGTTTTTTATTCATTTGATTAGATTATATTTTCTCTATCGGCCTGAAATATGTCTAACAATAATTAATTACTTTATCAAGCTAGAAAAATCTTATTAAAATCTCAAAATTTCAAGAAACAAAATAAACTTTGTTGGGAAAAATAAGATTTGTAAATCGCGCGTCAGAAAGTTGTATTTTAAGAGGATCTGCCAAAGAGTAAACTCAAAATTGCTCTCTTGGTTTTATTTTGCATCCATTGTTTTCATATTTTTCACTCTTCATTTACTTTCTAATTAATTAAACTAATTTAACTTAATTTTAACTTTTTTATCCATTCGTTCCTTCTAATAGCCATCAAATTTCATTTAAATTAGCTTTTTCTTTCAGATTCAGCATATTCTATTAGACTGTCTATCCATTTGAAAATTTGTCCACATTTTGGTACAAAAACTTGAAGTCTAGGTCTCTTAACTTTGAAAAGTTCACTTTTTCAGTCCAAATCGTGTTTCTTGTGGTTTGTTATTCAATCATCTTTGTCATCGCATCTAAATTGTATGACCTCCACTTTGGATTTATGTCTATAAGGTGTAGCTACTTATTTCTTCCGTCTAGGATTCCATCTGGATCTATTGTTCAGCTAATTCTTGGAGTGTCAAAACAAACGTAAAGGTTGGTGATATTGTTCATTAGTATTTGCATTAAAATGGGCGATATAATCCATACAGAAACAGATAGAGTGCCAAGTCCTTGTAGACTGGAACACTTTAGCGATAAACATCCTTAATATAACAACTATTTTCTCTTCTAACAGTGTTTATTCAGTTTCATTGAACCATCATCTCTAATTCTTTGCCGATAAACAACATTTACTCTCACTAAACACGATGCTACAATCTTCATCAAAAGCTTGTTTCAAATCATGCCTTCTAAGAATGCCTTATGGGACCGTTTTAGCCACAATTTTGGCACTTTGTGGTGTTGCCATTATACTAGTTTCACTTCTAGAATCAGCTGCCATAGCTGATAGATTAATATTTGAATTATTACATCGTAAATATCTATGGTAAGTAACAAATTAATAACTTGTCATCGTATTCATTTTTGCATTTAAAAGACCTTTTTTATCTTTTTTAAAAATAAAATTGATCTCACCTTGATCTAGGGTTATCAATGGTAATCTTGTTTCTCTCAAACTTTATCTTTGGCTATTAATATTTAGCTATTTGTAACTTTTAATACGAGAAACCAAGTTGGATAATTATCTGACGCTATGAAAATCGCAAAGTGAATTTGTTTATATAGACAGACAGCTTTTATGTCGTTCAAAAAAACTTTTAAAGTAAATTTTGTCAATTATCATTATATCGAGTTTAGCTTCTTTAATTTATTTATTTTTCTTTTCTTCTGTTGTTATCTTCAGGTTCAATGATTTCAAAGTGGTGTTCATCATTTTTTGTGCTTTCCTATCTGCAATTATACTAATCAACCTGATGATTGGTCGACCACAGGTCGAAATACTTCGCATTATTCAGGACAACCAAGCTGCACTTTTTGTGGATCTGCGACAAGTTGTCTGGTTAAATGTGTTTTCATTGCCAATTATGTACTCTTCTATCTTATCCTGGCCTTAACTATTGCATTTACCGTTGCTCTCTTTATTTGTTACATAATGTCAGGATTGTGTAGCGAGGGTCGTACTTATGAAGAACCCAATGGATCTAATCATCTACCTCCAAGTGAAGTCACTGACAGTTCACAACAGTTAAATCTTAAATTATTTGCACCATTGCTCAATATCAAGCCTAATGAAACAGATTATCTACTCGTTTTTGAAGGTTACAAGTTAAAAAAATTATGTGTCGATTACCTTCCCAATTTATACCTCTACATTATTTTCTGTTTTGCTGGATTTTTACTACTTTTTTCTGGTTTTCTTAATTATCTAATTAATTTAAGTATTAATTGGGCACGAATAACTACTTCTCAAAAATGTGCTGAACTCATCGATCTAGATTCGGCTGAAATGACTGCTTTTGGTGACGACTAAAGTAATCATCATCACTAATTCCAGTTTCGAGCATTTGGCTGCTTTGGACATCGATTCTAAACCACCTCTTGTTCGACAAACCGGAATAATATGTACAATTGGTAAGTATTACGACTAACTGTCTATCGGTATGAATTGTCTATCACATCATAAACACTGTTTATCTGTCATTTGATTTGATGAATTATAAGTTTGTTATTTGAACTGAGTAAATCGTTAATTTCTTGATTAGACAAGATTAAAGATAAATATCATCTTATAGTTCACTTTCTTCATTTCATTCCAAGCGTCATTATTTTTTGCTTCAATGTAACTCTGTTCTAATTTTTTCTCTTATTCCATTTCTAATTATTCATCTTTATTAGATGTTATATGGCCAAATGATGGATTTTTAACAAAGTCAAACAACCAAATGCTTCTCAATAACTTCACTTGGTATTGATCATACTTCTGTTTTGGATGATACTTTGGAATCTATCGCATAGCATAATGCCAAGTCCATTTATGGAGAGGACTCTTACCAATCTGTTTCACCGGTGATCGAGCTGGTGACTGGCCTCAAGATGTTGATGAGCTTATCCAAGCTGCTATTGATTTTGGTAAAGCTCGCGATTTCATGCGAACTGGCGATTCTGTAATCGTTGTCACTGGATTTAGAAAGGACACTGGCTCTACAAACACCATGAAAATTTTACAATCTAAACGAGTTTAATAATTTGATTGATTTGTATTTTTATTCGTTACAAAGCAAACAATAACATTTATTGTTTAATTAGTTTTATTTCCATATTTTGAAAATTATAGTCTGTCAACTCTCATTCTATGAATCCATGTTAACCTGTAATCACGTTGTTAACGCTTTTGCGAATAGTCATGGTGTAACAAGATTCTTATCTGAAAATTAAAAGAAATTAATTTTAATGTTCTTTGAATAATTGAAAACAATTACTCTGATGTTTTTTATTCATTTGATTAGATTATATTTTCTCTATCGGTCTGAAATATGCCTACCAATAATTAATTACTTTATCAAGCTAGCAAAATTTTACGCATAATTTGCTTTGAACAAGAATCAGGTTCAATTATCAACTAATATTTTATTGCTGAATCTTCTGTATTTGATTATCTTATTTTTCATAGTTAAAATAAGCAACCCTAAGTAAAGGTGGAAAACTCGACTGATATTCAAATTAAGGATAGCAAATTATTCAATTGCACGTTTTTTCACGTTATCATTTTGCCTACATATAAAAAATACATGGCTAAATGTTGTGGCTGCATGCTGAAGAATTATCATTAAATTGCAAAAAATTGAAACTTGATTAATCAATAATTCCAAACTCTACGGGACTGAATTAATTCCTAGTCTAAAATTAATCTAACAGGCTTATGATTACTTACATAAGTAAATCATTTCGTGAGTCAATTGATCTCTAACAGTAAGTTATTAACATAATAATTCAAGTATTTTTTCTTTCAAATATTTCTATGAGTCAGTCAATAGATCAATAAGTAAACTAGGTTAATCTATAATAATCAAGGAACGAAAGCTTCAAAATCTTAACTTGAGATTCTGAAGCTCACAATTGTCAGATTAAAAGAAATGCTATTTTGACAGGAATGTTTGGCTATTTTCAGAGCATTTGACATGTAACGCTATCTATTAGTCAATGTTATCACTGCTTTGTTGGTAGAGTCTAAAATCATCAAGAATAAGAACGTTTTGTTGAAGTTGCTTAGATCATCAATATTTTAATCATCACTTATTCTAATTTATATTTAATTTTTTCAATTTAATTATTTAAATCATTCACATTGATTGACGAACCATTGTTGGATTTAAATTATTTAACCCGAGCAAGTTTTAGGGCGCGTGGCCACAGCCCATAACCTTGAGTACAATTCACTAGGTAAGTGAAGAAGGATCTTTCATATTGATTTTTTGATTTGTTTTGTTTATTTATTGGATTTATATTATTATTGTTTAATTAATATTTCACCTTGTAATCTGATCTTTATTATGTTTTGATTCAGTTAAATGTTTGATTGTCGATTTATATTTATTTAATTTTATTCAGCTCAAATTTTCTCTCTCCTTTCTCGTTCATTGTGTTAATGCTCTTGGGGCATTAACCTATCTTACATTGCGTTCTCCCTTTCTTCCTTTCTTGTATATAAATATTTTTCTAAATTACGATATTTTCTACGTTATTAGGTTCACAATTTTTTTTCTCACTATTTTTGTAATTATTGGTAAGTGATTGAGTCTTCTTCTTATTCAAAATGGGTTCTGAACAAAATTTGGCTCAAGCAATGATTGAATTAAATACGGGTCACATACCAAATATGACAATACATGAGCGTCGTGATTATTTGATGAAAGCTATTCGTGATATCAGAAATGAAATTGAATTATTCAGAAAAGAAAATGATATTCTTGGTGGTTTCAAGGGCAAAGCTGAACTTGTAAACGCTAAAGTTGAAGAAGTAAGTGAAATAAATATTCAACAACTGTTCAAAGAAATTGGTAAACAGATTGACACCAAAGACGTTTCCATCCAAACTGAACCAATTGCAACACGATCAACTTCATTATTTCATAAAGCTGACAAATACAAAGACAGAATTCAAATCGCCTACAACTTGAGTAGTAAGGAGAAACTATTGATGAAGAGATTGAGTGATATCAAGTTGGCAACCAACCATAAAGGTCCTAACTATTTGTTGGTTAAAAAAAGTGAATATCATGATCTTATTGCAAAAATTGAAAAGATCGCTACCGATGGACTGAATTTCGCCAGAGCAATGGAAATGGATTCTCAAATTAATCTAGATAAAGTACACAATCTTCACCATGAACATCCACATGACCATCTAAGCATTTCAAACGATACCGCAATCATCTTCAACAATAATCATGTTACATTATCAAACGTTGAGACTCAATCACAATCAAATCAAGAAACTGTATTACCGACATCGACTATAGTTGGACCTTCAAGTGTCTCTAACAGTGGAGGCATATATGAAGAAAGTGATGACGAAGGTGTCCAACTCCTGCTCTCCATGAAAAGAAACGTTTTCAGTTGTAAATGTGGTGAATATCTCAACTCTATTACTGACTGGAGTGAGCATCAGAAAATTTGTTCGCGTTCTGTAGAGAAAAGTAAGTAAACATTATGTAATCTTCAATCAAGATCTCGTAATTTTCCTACAAATTACATTATGAACCATTAATTTTTGATTTTTTCTCTCTGTTTCTTTCTCAGCTATCGGAGAACAATGTCAACTTTGTAAAAAGACATTTTTAACCTGCGTTGCTCTCAACATTCATAGCACAAAGAAACATAATAAGAAGAAAATGCGAACTGATTCGATTATGCATTGTCCATGTGGTCAAAGTTTTACAGCGAAATGGAGGCAGAACTGTGTCCATAAATTAAATAGTCATGGACGTCACTGCAAAGCCTTCAAGGCCAGAGGTATAATTTATCATATGCTCTAGTTTTTTTACGTTCTTGTTTATTTACTAACCATTCCTCTATTAAGCTTATCTTACTTTTGGTTCTATCGTATATACTTATTTTTTGCATCTTTATTAATTACTTAGGCTAATAACCTCAATGATTTTGGTGAATTTTAACTTATTTCTCCTACTATTGTCTATAGCTTTTATTATTCCAAAATCTAATGTTTTTTTTTCTGAAATTTCTTTCATTTACAGAGATTCAATGTGCTATTTGTAAAAAGGGGTTCATCGAAAGGAAAAGCCTCGAATATCATGGACTCAAAGCTCATAAATTGGCGGTCCCAGTCAATAGTTAATTATCTACATTTAAAAAAGTAGATGAATGTAAGGGGCGAGTAAGTTGCATGTGTGCTTGTGTGATGGTATGTAAATGTTATAACTTAAACACTACACCAAGAATGTGAAAACTATCCAATTCAATATATACTTGGAAAATAGTTCAATTAATTTGATTTTAACGCAGTTAAGCTAAGCACTCAACTAATTTACCTAAATAAGCGCCAGGCAAACCACAAAAAAATTATTGACGCAAGCTGTATTCAATTGTAAAATATTATTTGAGCTGCAACCTGAATTAAATCATTAAATCACTTGCCTCATATCGATAGAGTAACATTTTTTTAATCTGAATATGTTAAAATTTTTGTAGGTACTCATGTTCATCCAATCAAGTACTCTTAATAATAATGTACTCTAAAACCATATTGATTTATAACAAATGAAGAACGCCAAGTGATGGAAACTTTTCTCATTGCAAAATGTTGAATCATGAATGTATTAACGCCTCCTATCAATCTTTATGGTTTTACTTTAAACATTGATTTTACAATAAAATGAGGATAAATGTAATTAAAATAAGCATTCCAAGTTATTTGATAATCACAATAATACAATATATGAAATCAATTTTGACGGTTAAAACAATTAATGTGTCTTGATAAAATAGTCATTATCATTAGCAAATGATAATTAACTTTGTTTATAATGTAAACCGAATTCATCTTCACCATAAGATGATGTCAACAATTTAGTTTCTTCATTAAGAGTGGCAAAGGTCGAGTCCATTTAGGTTAAGAATGCTAAAAAAGTTGTTATATCAATAGTAACAGAATCAATCATTTTAACTTGGTATGTCTGTTCTTTGAAAAAAGGTGCACATGAAATACCATTGGATACCATTGATCAACTAGACTTCCTAATTTTACTGCCTTTTCTTTTTCTTAAGTAGTAAACTTTTATTTAAGCCTTTCGATCTTTTCCGACGTTGATTGGTCAGTAGCTATTTGTAGATTTTTTCATGGGTCTGTTCTGATGTCAGTTGCTCGAAAACAATAAGTTCAATCTCATTATAATCTTACATTTCTTGACAATTTTTCAATTCTTGACATTACTTGCATTTAAGAATCAATCTGTTAGTTGAACTTCCTTCCATATTATAACCAAGTTGACCCGGGCTAACTAGCTTAGGAAGAATTTTGTAAGAAATCTGAGAAGCTGAGAAATGAAAAGAATGCTGTGGCTTGATAACTCAAGGTAACAACTGAACTTTATCCCACTACCTCAATGATTTTGATGAATTTTCACTTATTTCTCACACTTTTGTCTCTAGCCTTTATAATTTCAAAATCTAATTTTTTTCTAACCTTTCTTTCGGCAATAGTCTAGTACTACGGACACAGGGAGGAGCGTTAAGTTAACACAAAGTTTGATGGAATCACAGAAAAAGACGCTCATGTGTTTATTTCAATTCATTAATCCATGTTTGCTATTGTATTTTTTGTTAAAGCATTTGATTACTGTATTAGTGGTTAAACAAATGAACAGCAATCAGCTTTGATATCTTTACATTTCATGTTATTTTCAGTGTTTGATTTTAAATTTAAAAGATCCTCTTGATTGGATACTGATTTAAAGGTCTTTTTAGTTATGCCTTGGGTCCGTCCAACTAGACTGTTACCTTTCTTTCATTTCCAGAGATTCAATGTGCTATTTGTATAAAAGGGTTCATCGAAAGCCTCGAACATCATGGACTCAAACCTCAAAAATTGGCGGTCCCAGTACATTAAAAAAATACATGAATGTAAGAGGCGAGTAAGTTGCATGTGTGCTTGTGTGATGATCTGTAAATGTTATAACATAAACACTACACCAAGAATGTGAAAACTATTCAATTCGAATTGAAAAAGGGTTCATCTGAAAAATAAAGAAAAATTGAGTGAATAATTGAGAAAATAGTAGCAACATTGAATTGTTTTATCATTTTCTTATAAATAGCTTTTCATTTTCCATTTAGTGTTGAATATTCATTAACATGTAAAATTGGGTTTTAGTTGGACAAAATAATTAAAAAAGGTTAATAAACAAAAGTTTTGGTCAATTTTTGGCAAGTCAATCTTGAAGCTGAAAGAAGATGATTTAAAAGTAAATTTCTTCTTCCTTTTTTTGTTAACCACTTGTTTCAACGATCAATCGCTCTGATTGTTGTGAACTGCTCTAATTGTCCAGCAGTATATGATTTCCGTTGTAGACATTCATTATCATTACACTCATCACCATCAGACTCATCATTATACTCTATTATCACTCTAATCCAGGCCAACTAAAATAATGACAATGAGGATATTTAACAAAAATACATATACAAATTATGATGACCACTTTTCCCCGATTAATTACAATCTCAACACTAACAAGCTCTCCATTATAGTAAACCATTAACAGAAACCGCTAAGAGTGAAGGAATAAAGGGCACAAGAAAAGGCACCAGGAGAAATTAATTTTTGTTTCTAACCAGCCTTCACTATTATCATCTTTGCCCCTTTAACTCAGTCCAGTGAGTTTAGTGACTTGAATCAAGAAGGTCAGTTAATGGGAGACAAGAGCAACTCATGAAGAAAGCATAAATCTTTATGGTTACCAAAGGGTATAATGTTTATGTAGATAACTTGAAATTAAAGTTGAGGCCCATAAGAAAACGAGGAAAATGTGTCATCATGTAAATTCAAATCTTCTTTTTTCTCTCCTTTCCACTCAATATCTCAATTAGATTGACCATCGAGGCATTGGTCGGTTGGAGTTGACCTTTGACCATTGGAGGGAAACATTAAAATGATCTTGAAATGATGATGAGATGAAGATGAATTTAACCTCTATCATTCGGGTAATCAGTGGTGTATGACACTTTATAAAATTGGCTAACCAAGCCCACAATTCGGGATTTCGTTTCTTATTTTGGCCCGGTTAACATCGTCCTTTTTTACTCATGTTGGAGACAATTGGTGAGATTTACCATTAAAGTTGACTTCTTCACTGTTTTGTTTTACATGATCTTTAACAACAATCCAACCAACTGGACATTCATCATTTACTCTTGTGGTGTGTGTTTCTATTCTTGTGCCTTTAAAACCTGTGAAAATTTAAACATCAATCAATAAATCAAATAATAAAAATAAAAATGAAATCAAAATATATTTACCGTTCATTAATCATCTCCTTGACTTGTGCTCTTCTCATGTCCGAAGTATCAGCTGGCTTATTTAACCGCCTTCTATACATGATGATGAGGAATCGTCGGCGTCATTACGTTCCATTCCCAGTCTCGTAAGTTAATTTTATCAACAATCGACTGATTTTTGTATTCAATGATTTCCTTAGTGATCAAGTGAATAACATTTATAAATAATAACAGTCAAAATGAAAACAACTCCATTTCATGGAAAACTATTCTTCCTAACAATTGTGATTACAATTTATTTTTCACTATCAGTAATTTAATGGAACTAATTAACAGGAAATCTCTTGATTACCGCAAAAATAATTATATTCTCATTATCACAAGCAACAATTGGTGTATTGAAACCCAATTATATTTTAATCAGAAGTTTATTATCGTGAAAATAGTACGAATAAGCTATTTTTAGGTATTTTTATGTTACATTAGAGGCAATTTTTATTTCAATTTTATTTCAATTTTTACTTACTTTTTTATTTAAATGATTTTTCAGATTATCTCCATTCTCAAACTTTGGATCTTCATCACTCGGTGGAATGTATCCTCTTTCCCTGTCAAGTTTAAGTAATTCAATTACACCTTCCGCTATATCTGCGGCATCAGCTGCTATTCCTTACTCACAATATTTATCCAGTTTGGCTGGTCTTAGTGGAATACCGCCAATTTCACCTTTAGGACCATGGGGTGGCATCAATCCTTATTATTCTTACCTGAATTTGGCTGATTATCCAGATTATCGCAGCTTCCCAACCATACCAAATTACCTTCCACTTCCGTCTTATACACCACCGATATACACTCCACCATCTTTCCCATCTTTCCCAGGTTAGTCTTGAATCAAAGGTTTTTTTACCAATTTTTATTTACACTTTGTTTACATTTTATTTTTATTTTGTTTCTATTAAAATTTCAGCTGTTAATATAAGCGATATTAAGGAAAATGACAAGAAAATTTCAGCTCGAGCTGCCGCAGCCGCTGCTGCTTCAACTGGTTCAACGGGCAGTCCAGCCACAGGATTAGCGTATAACATTCAAGGCCAAGATAGGAAGGAATTGTTGTCCAAGCTTAAATATCTCGCTAACCATCGACAAGCATCCAACTACAGAGCTCCACTTCTGTTCCCTGAAACTGATGATTTGATGGACTCTTTTAGATGAGCCAATGGTTTGATCTTTCATCTCAAAATTTTATCATTCATTTACTCTAACTTTGGTTATGTTCATTTACCTGCATTTATCCTCATCTCTTGGTCATTATTTCCTTCTTAAAAGATAAGTTATTAATCCTTGGAAGACCAATGAATATCATTATTGATCATTAACGTTCAAAAGTATTATTGTTTAACAATCTGGATTGGAATTGAATTTATCAAGTGCGAAAACTAAATTATTAAAAGAATCTCATTGTTGATTTTACGAAATACGAAAGCAAATTGTTTCACTATCAAGAAATAATTGCCAGTGAAAATTGACCAACCACATTTATCAACATTAAAAATCGTCGTCCATGCCTTTTGTATTTCAAATCGTTCAAATAAACTAATTCACCTTCCTTAATCTTTGCTCACAACTTACCTTTCTTCTCCCTCACCTTTCATCTTCCCTATCCTCGCTCTTCCCCCAAACGGAATCATAACTGTAACGATGAGACTTAAATAAAACTTGAGAGAATCAAGTTTTCCTTTTTAAACACTATTCTCGGTCGTTGTTCTGTTACTTTTTTTCAGGCCATCATCGTCATCAATTTTAACCGTCCCATTTAACTTCAACTGACTTCATATTCATCTTATAGTTAAATTTGATGCCAATAATGTTACATGTATTTTGTGCTAACAATCAAAATTTGATTCTTTGTTTTTTATAATCAACACCAAGTATGCCTCCATTCAATCCGTCTTCACAAGTGTCAAATCGTTTCAAAGGCCAAAGTCAAACTAAATTGATTAATAGGAGATCAATTCAAGTTACAAGCCAGGTTGACAGACGAAACAATGAAAAGTCAAAGAAATTATCTTCAGAGTCATGGGATGCTTCCTCGGTTAAACTAACTATCCTAATGATTTCACTAGTCTCATTAACTTTGTATATATTGAGTCCATCACAAGTTAATAATCAACAGACATCACCAGAGTCATCTTCTCAGCCATCTTCCCAATCATCTCCACAGCCATATGTAAAGCAGTCAAACTCCTCAGACAACGACCATGGTAATGCAAATCCACAGGTTGGTGATTATTATGAACAACAAGAGGGACAATTTTTCAATTTCCTGGCTACAGTTGATCAACATTTTCCGCAAATAAGGTTAGTAATCATTTATTAATATCATAATAAAGTCAGTGCATTGCCTTCGGGACCTTTAACCTATAAACTAATCTGGTTTGTTTTCATTTTATTTTCAGTTTGCATGAAGTTGACTGTCATCCTACTGGTTACAAGAAGGAAGCTGAGCTGGGTTTAAACCCGCAACGATGTGGAACCATGATTACAGATGAATTGGTTAGTCGAGCAGACACAATGAAATTGCGGCAACTGGCAATGAAAGTGATCGATAGAATGGGTCAAACTAATTTCCATAATCGCGAGTCAATAAACTTGAAATGGATTAATTTGCACAATCTATTTCGAAATGGAACTGAAAATGGTGTATTAACAGAAAGTGATTTCCAGTTGATCAAGAATACCTCTGAAGCTGCTCGTGTAAGTGATTTGTCCACTTTGCTAAATTAGACTTCATTGTATTAAATTGTATTCAATTGATTTTTTGGTTTCCTTTACAGTCTGCCGTAGGATTAGCATTTGGTTTACCTGAAGAGTATCTTATGTTTCATGGAGTTTGTCAGTTCACTCGTTATCATCCAGTTGTCCAATTCCGTGAATTTAGACACATTGATAAACTTAGATCGCCCAATTTGATTGTTACTTCAATTTTGTGGTTATCTACAATTGATGAAGACTTCGGTGGAGGACGAACTGAATTTCTTACTGGACCAGGACCAGAGCCTTTTAGTCCATTGTTGGTTGAACCCAAAATTGGTCGATATGCTGCTTGGACTTCATCTTATGAGAATCCTCATGCAGTTCAAGAGTTGGATTATGGTTATCGATATGCACTCATTTTTGCTTTTACTGTTCTTGAAGGCTTTGGTCATCCTGATTTAGAGTCATTCAGGGAATGGGCACTGACGACTGATGCTCTTAAATAATGACAATAAGGAGTATTTGGAAAAACTTTGACTTTCGATTGTAATTAAAAAACTTCAGAAAACTCATCAATACAATTTGATAAAATGGTTTTTTACGACCGTATTTTCATATATTTCCAATCGAACTTACTTTCTTTATGTTTCTTTTAACAGCCTAACATACATGCTTGTAAATTGGTGATTGAAGATGACATGTTGTTAAAACTAAGAAGATCAAAAGTTCAAGATCAGCTGAATGGACCTCATAGTCAACAATCAGAGAATGGAAAGATTACGAGAGACTTTATCTCATTTTTTGAGAGACAATCAAAAAATGAGATTAATTGAAAATGAATCTGAGAGAATCATTTTTATACCAAATAATATACTATACAAGACACTGGAAATGATATTACAAGGTAAAATGTTAAAATCAACTGTTGAAACGTGTGAAGTGTTGTTTTATATAAGAGTTGGATTCATTGACGGAATTGAAAAGATGTCTAATTTATAAATCATCACTGTGCAGAAGCATTTAATCGAAAATTGTGACTCTTGAAAAAATAGATTGTGCCTGGAAGAATCCTGGAAGAAAGAACAGACTTAATTCTGTTGTTAACACAATCGATCATTGCCATCACCAACTTCATCAACATCATTGTTATTCTTGTCGAAGTTATTGGTTTATCCAATTTAAAGTATTTGGTGACATTTTTCCTTGAAATATTATCCCATTACCTAAAATTCATTAAGAAATTGACTGTAGACAATGAAACCAGGGTGAGTTATATTTCAATCTGAATTATTCATATTTTAAATGTATTTAAAAGTATCATATTCAATATGTTCAAATGATTTCTAGAAAATTTTCAAGATAAAATAAAAATTCACAAGTTCCTTGAGATGATGCCGGTTATTTACAATTATCAGTATGTTTCTGTCAGTCTAGCAATTTAATGGCGGCCAATGGCATTTGATAATCAATCAGTTTTTTATTCTTTCAACTTATTTAATCAATTTAAGATCTCGATTATAAAGTTTCATTATTTAATTAAATATGGCTTCATAATTTACGGAGAGCCCAGAAGAAACCATCTTCACCTTTAAGATAGTCTTGTTGAACTTTTGGATGGTCAGCTACAACCTCAACCAAACCTTCAGCCACAAGACTGTCCATAATCTTTTGGAATCCATTGTTGGCATAAGTCTCATCTCGTTCTGCATATCGATCAGGATTGGCCATTGCCCATGTGATGATTCCACCTTAGTTTGATAAAGATTATTAGTCTCAAGTATGCTTTAAAAGTAAATTAATTTACTTACCTTTTTTGAGGACCTTTAAAAATTGTTTAAAAGTTCCAATGTGTAATGGAAAGTGACCAGGACAAAAAACTCCAACCATTATCAAAGCATCATAAGATTCTGGTTCAAGAGGCAGTTCAATCTCAGGTCCAACATAAGAGATTGTTATTTTCTTGTAGATATTTTTCTGAAAGTAAATTTACCTTCAAGTTAATTGGCTGTTAATAAATTACTGGGCATCAGACTGACCTCTTTAGCTTTCTCGGCCATCTTTTCACATCCATCCAAAGCCTCGAGATTGGTATATCCAAGTTCAGTCAATGCTTTACCTAACAATCCAGTTCCAGCTCCACAGTCGAGGATCTTGGAATCCTTTGGTAAATTCAATTCGTTGAACTTAGCTGCAGCTCCTTGAGGAGCGTTATATCCACAACCAGGCATATCCTAGGACAAAAGATAATATCATGTATCAACATTGGAACATATTGTTTACAATAATCCAAAAACAGGAGGAATCATCCAGATAATGTCCATCTTTTAATGACGACCAAGCAACAAGTGAAGAGTTGTTTTACAGCAGTCAAGATCCATTTCTTATCAATTATGCGAAATTATGCAATTCCGTAATTGGTGAATCATATTAATTACAAAGTCAATTACTCACCTCTTCATATTTATCAGACCAATCTGCATACATTTTGGTACACTCTTCCTTTGGCATAGGCTTCAGAGTTTCTTCAATGTAATTGAACATATCTTTCTTTTCACTGGCCATTTTGTTAAAATTTAAGGTTGATCTTACAACACAAAGTAAATTAAGTTGAAAATTATAAAATTAAACTGAAAAAATCAAGTTGAACTTGTTAAAAAAAGGATAAGAAATAAAATCTAAAATAAAGGGTTGAGGAAACAAGACTAACGCTTATGTAACTTTTAGTATTATATGACCGAGTGAGCAACTTGCCTTCTGGTTTGGTTATCTAAGCAGTTGTCTATCTATGGGTTTTTTGGGTTTTCTGTCTGCTTCAAAGTAAACCAAAAACATCGACAGAGATTAAAATGTTTAAGACAGGTAAAACAGACAGACAAACTACCTGTTAATCAATCACAAGTCTTCTTGCAAATGCAGCCGTTTACTTTGATGTATTTAACTGCAAGTTGAGTAATCAACTTTGAATTTAAATTTTCGTACAAAAAATATCTTTCAATCAAATTCTCACTAAAAAATTTCTGAACTTATAATATTGCATTAAATAAGCCTGGAGCTGGGCTTTTCAAAATCAAGCTTCTTCAAACGATAATCTCAACTTGGACAATCTAACCGAAAGTCGTTGACTAAAACAAAAGGCGAATGTTCAATGACGTTTGATTTCTGTTGTTTAAATATAAACTTGAATGTCACTTTCTGCAGACAAGCTTGAACTATCATCAATCAGACATTCGATGATAAAAGCGAAGAGTTTTTTGATTGATTGGAATTGTTTAATTTGCCCCTTTTTTGTTTGATTTTATTTTCCTGATTCGGAAACGGAACTATTAATCACTAATCAATAACCTTCAACAAACGCTTACGTTGGCTTAAAAGTCTTGATGATTCACTTATTACTAGTTTTTTTATTAGTCATTTGTCTAGCGATGCATCATTGAAATCAACTAACAAACTTGTAAATAAACTAAATGATTGTACAAAGCACGAACGATTAATAAAATTAGTTGATTTATACAATGAGTAATTGACTAATTGCTATTTGGTTTGTTTCTTCAAATGATAGTTTCATAACGAGCAAAGAGGATCTTATTTGATTTTAAGGTGTTCAAGTTGATCTGATGGCAATTTAAGATAATCATTGAGTAAACTTCAACTCATCAAAAGTACTGCTACATTGATACTAGATTTTTGTGAGTAAAAAAATCAAGCGAAAAAGTGCATAATTTAACGATTTAACCATTGAAATGTAACTTTAATTAACAATCATGTTGAGCTAAAAGCTAAAAGTAAAAAATACCTTTAAAAACTGTTCAGAAGTTTCAATTTACACAGGGAAATTTCCAGGGGTGAAGAGTTTTTCAACATTGAGAAGATGACAAAAAATGGTTTGATTGTTTTCATCAATTTTTAAGCGTTATCAAACTTCTCTGGCCTTTTCAAGCACCTTTTCACACCCACCAAGAGCACCAATGTTTGGATAATCAATACAATCTTAAATACAATGCCAATAACCCAGTTCCAAGCACACGATCAACTTCAATATTACTTAAAGCTGACAACATAAAGACTGAATATAAAGCAAGGTAAGTGTAATGGTGATCTTTAATACTGTTTTTTTACTTAAGATTTGTTTTGTTTATTTATTGAATTCAGTTTATTGTCTAATTGATATTTTAATGTTTAGCAACTTTATTGATAAGTAGTTGATTCATCTCATTTAAAATGGATTCTGAACGAAATTTGGCATTACATGAGCATCGTGATTATTTGGTGAAAGCTATTCGTGATATCAGAAATGAAATTGAATTACGCAGAAAAGAAAACGATATTCTTGGTGGTTTCGCTGCCAAAGCTGAACTTTTAAACGCTGCAATTGAAGAAGTAAGTAATATAAATATTCAACTGTCCAAAGAAATTTCCAAAAGCCAAAACCAGTTTCCAGAAACCAAAGACGTTTCTATCCAAACTGAACCGATTGCAAAGCGACCAACTCTATTCCATCCATTCGCATACTATCTGAGTAGTAAGGAGAAACTATTGAAAAAGAGATTGAATAATATCAAGTTGGCCACTAACCATAAAGGTCCTAACTGTTTGTTGGTTAAAAAAAGTGAATTCCGTGCTTTTATTTCCATGATCATGTCAACTTGTCAAACCTACGAACGCAAACGAAATAAAATCCGTAAACTTTATTACCTTCATCGACTTCACCGCTAGTTGGACCTGAAAGTTTTTCCAATGGATGGAACAGCTAGATGAATGCAAGGAAAATATGTGCAATGAATTTATTTCAAGCTAAGCCATGCACTCAACTCGACGCAAGCTGTAATGATGGAGAAGTGATGGAAACTTTTCTCATTGCAAAATGTTGAATCATGAATGTATTAACGCCTCCTATCAATCTTTATGGTTTTACTTTAAACATTGATTTTACAATAAAATGAGGATAAATGTAATTAAATAAGCATTCCAAGTTATTTGATAATCACAATAATACAATATATGAAATCAATTTTGACGGTTAAAACAATTAATGTGTCTTGATAAAATAGTCATTATCATTATCAAATGACAATTAACTTTGTTTATAATGTAAACCGAATTCATCTTCACCATAAGATGATGTCAATAATTGAGTTTCTTCATTAAGAGTGGCAAAGGTCGAGTCCATTTAGGTTAAGAATGCTAAAATGGACCAACATAAGAGATTGTTATTTTCTTGTATATATTTTTCTGGAAGTAAATTTAGTTTAGTTTAGATTAGTAAGATTAGTGATACAATGCTATGACTTTTTTGTGGTTTCCTGAATTATCAATCATCTCATTTCATTAAATTCCCAAATAAAATCTAATTATTGTTGCAAGAATCATGATTCTAAGTGGTTTCATTCTCGAGATATCGATGCTCAAAGTTTTAAGAACGATTGCCGAAATTGAGAGAACTGTTTATAAATTGAAAAAAGTGTTCAATTCATGTTGTGCACAAACAATTTTTGTGAACTAAAAATAAGTTTTAGCCATCTAATGCAAGTGGTCATAGAGAGAGATCGGTTCTACTGAAAATCGAACTTATCTATTTGTCCAGAAGCAGAAAATTTTGGTTCTCAGATTAAGTTCATTTTCTGGTTGACAGTCAAAAGTTACATCAATAAAATAGAGTTTCATGAAAAAAGCTGCTTCCATGATTGAATAATAGCCGTTGGAAGTTTCAACTCTGGACTCGATTTTCTCGAAAACGAAATGTTCATCGGATTAGTTATTTAATGGCACCAATGGATTGGATTTTTATGTCCCTACAAACCAACAAAAGTAATTGTAAGCTGTTACCAAAGAGTATAACTCTTTGGCTGTTACTAAAAAGACACGACCAACTCAATTGTCGCATTTATGTACAAATTGATTAAAATGAGAAAAAAGGGCAAAAATTAATTTCTTTTGAAGTTAGATTCTGTTGGTTTGTAGGTACATGAAAAGAGAATCCATTTGTGTGACTTAAAGATTTTTCTCATCAATATTTTTCGACAAAATCGAGTCCAAAGTTGAAACTTCGATCGGCTTTTATTCAGCTAGGGAAGCAAGGTTTGTCTTGGAATTCATTTCACTGATGTAACTTTTGATTTTCAACCAATAAATGGTCTTATTTTGAGAACCAAAATTTTCTGTTTCTGAACAATTAGATTAGTTCGATTTTCATTTGAACCGACCACTTTCTGTGCCCATAAAAGTTAGAGATCTGAAACTTATTGCTAGTCCATAAAACTTATTGGTACACATCATTGATTGAATACTTTTCTCAATTTCGCAACAGTTCTCTTTATTTTTGCCATTGGTTTTAGAACTTTAAACCACAATATTTCGAGAATCGCATGACCTACAAGGGACATTCTCTGGCCAATCATTCGTTTTTATAATGAGTTATAATAGTACATTGAAATATTTGCTAAACCATTCTGAGATTGCTGAGATTCTACAAAAAAAGTTATAGCATTTCATTACTTATGTTATCAGTTTTTAGACTTGATTTATAAAGTTAGATGGTTACTCAACATAAATTTTAGTTGCTAGAAGAACATTCACTATTAAATGAATTAGTTGAGATTCATGCGGTATTCCGTTATATGATATTATAACTCATATTAAAATCTAGTTTTTGGTCAAAGAATGACGACTGTAGGTGATGCCATTCTCGAAATGTTGAGATTCAAAGTTTAATGACCAGTGGCCAAAATCAAGCAAACTGTTGATAAATCAAAAAAAATTTTCAATGAAGCATAGATGCTTACAATTATTATGCACGAATAATAAGTTTCAGGACGCTTACTCCAACGGTCAAAGAAAAAGACCCATTCAAATGAAAATCGAACTTATCTATTTGTACAGAATTAGAAAATTTTATTTCTCAAAAGATTTACATTTTCTGGTTGACAATCAAAATTTACATCAGTAGAATAGAGTTTCATGAAAAAATCTGCTTTTTTAGCTGAATAAAAGGCGATCGAAGTTTCAACTTTGATCTCGTTTTTCGCGAAAACTGTCCATTGGAGGAAATATCTAATAGTACCAACAGATTCAGTTTTTATTTCCCTACAAACCCACCAAGTCTCAACTCTTTACCCTTGAGCTTTTGGTAGCACTCATTGCATTTCATTTGAAAGTTAAACCAGAAAATTGGTTTATTTACCAAGAAATGGGTTTAGATGAGCTTTGTTTGTTTAATAAGTTGTTCCTTGTACATTTACAACGCAAATATCATGACCGAAATGCTATAATGGAAAGTTATTTGATTGAATTGTATTATTAATTAGTAAAGAGTCAAATTGGTGAAAGAATGGCGATTGTAGGTATTATCATTCTCGAATTATCGAGGTTCAAAGTTTTATATCCGATGGCCAAAATAAAGAGAACTGTTGCTAAATTGAAAAAAGTATTCAATCCATCATGTGACCCAATAAGTTTTATTGACTAGCAATAAGTTTGACCTCTCTAACTCTTATGGTCACCGAAATTGGTCGGTTTGAATTAAAATCGAACTCATCTATTTGTTAAGAAACAGGAAATTTTGGTTTTCAAAATAAGTCCATTTTCTGGTTAAGAATCAAAAGTTACATCAGAGAAATGAGTTGCAAGACAAACCTTGATTCCATAGCTGAATAAAAGCCGATCGAAGTTTCAACTTTGGGCTTGATTTCCTCGAAAAATATTGATCAGAAAAATCTTTAAGTCACACAAATGGACTCAGTTTTGATGTCGCTACAAACCAACAGAGTCTAAACTTGCAAGAAATTGATTTTTACCCTTTTTTCCCATTCGGACCAATTTGTGTATAAATTTGACAATTGAGTTGATCGTGTCTTTTTAATAACAGCCAAAAAGTCATACTCTTTGGTAACAACTAAAAATTACTTTTGTTGGTTTGTAGTGACATAAAAACTGAGTCCATTTGTGCAATTCAAAAGTTTCTCTGATCAATATTTTTCGTGAAAATCGAGTCTAAAGTTGAAACTTCGATCGCATTTTGTACAGTTTTAGAAGCATATATTTTTATGAAACTAATTTTTCTGTTGTATCTTCTAATGGTCAATCATTAAATGGACTTATTTTGAGTAAGGAAATTTTCTTTCAAAATTAAAACAGATCAGTTCGATTTTGATTTAAACCGACCACATTCTGTGACCATAAGATCTAGAGAGCGGAAACTTATTATCCGTCTACAAAAAATGTTTGCACGCATCACGGATCAAATACTTTTTTCAATTTACCAACATTTCTCTTGCTTTTGGCCATTGGCCTTAAAACTTTGAGTCTCGATATTTTGGGAATTTTGACAGCTACAGCCATCATTCTTTCACTAATTTAACCCTTTACTAATTACCAATTCAATTAAATCAAATAACGGTCCATTAGTGTATTCAAGTTACGCTGTTTGGGTCTTAGATGTACAGGCAACAACTTATTTAACATACAAAGCTCATCTAAACCCATTTCTTGGTAAATAAACCAATTTTCTGGTTTAACTTTCAAATGAAATGCAAAGAGGGCTACCAAAGGCTCAAACATTTGGGTAAAGAGTTGAGACTTGTTGGGTTTGTAGGGAAATAAAAACTGAATCTATTGGTTCAATTAAAAATTTCATCCGATAGACAGTTTTCGCGAAAAACGAGATCAAAGTTGAAACTTCGATCGTCTTTTATTCAGCTAAGGAAGCAAATTTTTTCATGAAACTCTATTCTACTGATGTAAATTTTGATTGTCAACCAGAAAATGTAAGTACTTTGAGAAATAAAGTTTTCTGCTTCTGGACAAATAGATAAGTTCGATTTTCAGTAGAACAGATCTCTCTGTATGAGTATATAAATTAGAAGGCCAAAACTTATTTTTAGTTCACAAAAATTGTTTGTGCACAACATGGATTGAATACTTTTTTCAATTTATAAATAGTTCTCTTAATTTCGGTCATCAGTCTTAAAATTTTGAACACCGATATCACGAGAATGTTACCACTTAGAATCATGATTCTTTTAACATATTCATGGAACATATCTTAAGACATGTTATATTGAAATATAAGATGATCAAAGATGCTAAAAAATTTGGCTCGATTTTCTGGGCAACTGTTAATCTGAGAAATGCTTAAATCGCGCAAATGGACTCAGTTTTCTGTATCTTGTTTTGATTTCCTGGTACTTTGAATTTCCTTTCTTCATTTGCCTGCACTAACACTACTGTAATTTATGCAATTTCTGAATTTCTAACCTTTTCTCACTGTCTGTCTATGGGTTTTTTTTGGTTTTCTGCCTGTTTCAAAGTAAACCAAAAAACTTAGAGACGCGGAGATTGAAATGTTTAAGACAGGTAAAACAGACAGACAACCAGACTACCTGACAATCAATTACAAGTCCTTTTGCGAATGCAGCCGTTTATTTTGATGTATTTAACTGCAAGTTGAGTAATCTTTGCATTAAAATTCGCATTATAAAATTTCTGAATTTAATATATTGCATAGAGCCTGGAGCTGCTTAACAACTGGTTTGTAAGTCTATTTCTTCAAACGATCATCTCAACTTGGACAATCTAACCGAAAGTCGTTGACTAAAGCAAAAGGCGAATGTTCAATGACGTTTGATTTCTGCTGTTTAAATATAAACTTGAATGTCACTTTCTGCAGACAAGCCTGAATTATCATCAATCAGACATTCGATGGTAAAAGCGAAGAGTTTTTTGATTGATTGGAATTGTTTAATTTGCCCCTTTTTTGTTTGATTTTATTTTCCTGATTCGGAAACGGAACTATTAATCACTAATCAATAACCTTCAACAAACGCTTACGTTGGCTTAAAAGTCTTGATGATTCACTTATTACCAGTTTTTATTAGTCATTTGTCTAGCGATACATTAATGAATAAACTAACTAAATGAACTAAATAAACTAAATGATTGTACAAGCCACGAAATTAAACATCAATAAAACGAGTAGTTCCTGTTTAGTTTGTTTCTTCAAATGATTGTCTCATAACGAGCAAAGAGGATCTTATTTAATTTAAGTTGCTCGAGTTGATCTTATTGCAATGTTAGAAACATCTTCGGTACATCATTGAGTAAAATTCAACTCATCAAAAGTGACTCTACATTGATACTAGATTTTTGTGAGTAAAAAAATCAAGTAAAACAAAAAGAGTCATAATTTAGCGATTTAACCATTGAAATGTAACTTTAATAAACTATCAGGTTGAGCTTTTTTAATGCAAAGCTCAATTTAACAATTAAATCATCAAAGTTTACGAACAGCCCAAAAATATCGTTTCTTGGGTTGAACTGATGGCAGTTCTTTTGGATGGTCTTTAACAACTTCAATCAAATTTTTAGATTTAAGTTGTTCAATCAACTTATTGAAACCATCATTGGCATAAGCAGGGTCTCGATCAGCATAATGTTCAGGATCTGCCATTCCCCATGATAAGATACCACCTATTGAATGGGCAAAAAGTTAATCAATAAATATCATTAAAAAATTCAAGTAAAGTAAAAATAATAAAGAACACAAAAAGAACCTTTTTTAACAACTCGAAGAAGCTGTTCAAAAGTCCCTACTTGCACAGGGAAATGTCCAGGGGTAAAGACTCCACACATAACCAGAGCATCATAAGTATCACTCAAGAATGGCAGTTGAATGGTTGGACCCACAAATGAGACAAAATATCGACTGTACAAATTTTTCTGTCAACATTGAATGACAACAAAAATGGTTCAATTGTTTGTTTCCATCATTTTTTAAACATTATCATACTTCTCTGGCCTTTTCAAGCATCTTTTCACAACCATCAAGAGCATCAATGTTTTGATAACCAAATTGTTTTAAATAAATTGCCAATAATCCAGTTCCAGCTCCACAATCAAGAATATTGATATCTTTGGGTAAATTTAGTTCGGAAAAGCGAACCGCTGTACCTTTGGGTGAATCGTATTGCCAAACATCCATATCCTTTCAAAGCAAGAAAAAACATTGAATCAGTTTTAATCACCAGAGTAATCACAATAATCCTTTTAATCCTAAATCAACTGGACTTACGGAATCATATTTATCGCTCCAGCTTTCGTACATTTTGATTGATTCCTCGATGGGCATTGGTTTCCATTTTTGTTCAATAGCTTTAAATTCATCGGATAATTTTTTCTCGGCCATTTGTTGTCAATTACTAATAACACTTGAGATTATCAACTAAACTGGACAAAACTTATTCACAAAATGAAATCTCTTCTTCTGTCAAAGCTTTTAATATCCATCCAGAGTCAACCTCCCACTTGTATTCACTATCACTGATCGTACGATGTTCAAAATTGATCCTGATGTTGAAACGGCAAAAAAGGTAATCATCATCAAGCAGAAAATTTTCAGATTTATTGTCGATAATTTTTCTCCGACAACTTTTTTACTGCTTCAATAACTCAACCTAAAATTGTGATTAAGACACTAATCTAAGTTATACTAATCTACTAATGAATAATATCCAATAATTCATTATCTAGATTTAGAAACTCATTTAAACTCATCTAAACTCATCAATCTGGAATAATCTGTATCTCTAATTGCAATCAAATCTAGTATCCTATTGATGAATCGTACAATTCATTATATGCAATATTTCTTGCAGTTGCAACATTTGGTCTGCAGACTGGTTTCAATATTAACCTTGATCAGTGTAATATGAAAGCTTTTAAGATGATGATTATAATTTTTTATGGTTACGATGACGATATTAATTGAAAAGATTCATAATTTTGTTCCCAATTTTCATCATTTTTAAATTGCTAAAGTATTTCAAGATGTTTAAAAGTGATAATCTTGATTCTCAAATTGATACAATGATAATGATTCAAGGTAAAAGCTGTTGCTAAGCTTTTCATCATTTCCAATTTATTATACCTCAATGTCATCCATTAACTCCGTGAATACAATTAACAATGATCAATGATCATGACTAATTCAATTTATCATGTTTAATGAAACATTTGGTGAAACATTTTTACAAAGGTTCATTTAGAGTTAACTGTGTTTTACCCAAATTTTGACCAATAATTGGCATCGGTTTGAGAGTCACTTTGTTTTTTTTCAGGTTGAAATTTATTTTATTAACAAATAATGATATTGAATTAAGAAATTGATAAAAAATGAAAACCATGCATAATTTATTTAACTGAAGTAATATTTCTTCGAGTCGATGTAACGAAAGTTGAGATAAACAAATGAAATCAATGATGATTATTGATTGAGAATGAAAGTTACAATAGTTATGGAGAAAATCTGTTACAATGAACAAAATCATTGACCAGAGAAACCAAGTCACTTAAAAGATATTGATGGTCTATCACAAATATCCCAATTGAATTAGATTGATTTAAAACCCTTTGACCAATCATTGTCGTTAAAAATAATCAGATACAGATGGAAGATGAAATAAGATAATAAAAAGTGCAAAAATTCATTGCAATCCATGATTTTTGTCTATGATTGGCCAAAGCTTTCTCAATGTTTATCATTTGCATTAGTTCAACTTTATGCGTCCGAGCGTTATCCTCAATCCACCTTGTCTTTTAGTTGACTAAGCAAAAATTAAATGCGATTGTGACTTGGTTTCGGTATAAGTCGATTGCCACCTTGTCATCCACCATAGTCGCTTTTCGAAGACTATAAGTCAAGTTTCTTTTTTATACAACATTATTGTCTAATTTAGCTCGTAAAGCTGATAATTTGACATCAGGTCCAACATCATCTTCGTCACTGTTATCTGCATCTGCATCAGCGACTTCTACATTTACTTCAGATAATGGAATCTGTAAAAGGTCACAATCAGGTCCTTGGTCATTCCTTGGACGTCGTCTAACTGATGTAGGTGTAACTTCAGTGTAACCCTTATAAGCACCATTGTGAATGTTTAACTTTGGTGTTTCTTTTTTGGGTCCACAACACGTTTGGGCGGCACAACTAGTATTTTGAGGACAGTCTAACACGCAATTTTCTTGATCCTCTTTTGTTTGATACTGTTGAAAAAAAGAGAAATGTTATTATAATTATTTAACAAGAAAATTAGACTCAATAATGGTTATAAAAAATCTTGTAGAGGTGAATGATGGAGATATTAAAACAGGTTGGTTGGTATAATAAAGATGACGGTGAAGTTGGTGTAAAAAGTAGCAGACGTGATATGAGAAAGTAAAAAAACTCACCTCTAATTCAAGGTCCACAAATTCAGGTTGAATTGTGGTTGAATGAATACCTTCATTGTGAAAAAATTCTTTGACCTTTTCAGCTATTCTCATGTAATCTTGCAGATTGTGGCATCGTATGTGAGCTGAAGCTATTATACGATCACCAGCCAGTTGCCAGACATGAAGTTCATGAACAGCAAGAACACCGTCTATCTATTCAGGAAACAAAGAAATCAATTCAGTTATTTTGTATAATAATCAGATGGAAAAGGTTAAAATAAGCTCGATTCTCGAGCTGAAAATTGTCATGCATGTTTGTCAATAGCTAACATTAATCAAGTCTAATTGCAGTTGATCTCTAAATCAATCTTGGCAAAGGAAAACTAAATAAAGCAAGTTTTAGTTTTATAATTATAAGTCATGACATCTATCGCTTCATTTTGCAGTTAATTTCCAATTCTGTTGGAACTGAAAATGGAAACTGAAAAAAAGAATGAATTCTATTGAAGCACCGCCATTTTCAATAATGACATGAGACAAAAACGCATGTTGGTACCAAAATTTCATAGCGAAATAGAGTCGCAAATGAAAGCAAAATTCATAGCAATTAAAATTGTTAGTTTGATAGCAGTGATGTTCAAGAGTTAGAAATGTCAATACCAAGAATAGACGAATTGATTATGATAAAAAAACATTTATGGAACAATAAAAAATGATAAAATAGTTAAAAAAATACTTTAAGATGTAGACAGTTGAGATAATCGTGTACAGAAGTAGTTGTATAAAATCAAGGGTCTAGAATGATTATCGAAAGATGATTTCTGAAGATGCTGGAATAATTTCTGCTGTTGGTTGACAATTTATGCCTTCTTTAAAGCAATTGAAAAGTCAAAGTTTCTCAATTTATCATTAGTAGTAGTGGATCACTCCACATGTAGTCGTACTTGTACTTATATTAATAGATTACAAAGTTCAAGTAGTTGTAATTATCTTTACAATGACGAATACAGTCGATTGTGTAAATGAGCTAGCATCAAATGACAATTAGAGAAATATGTTAATTTGATTCACATCAAGTCTAAGCTGAATTTAAGATTTGCAAGTGAGTTAGAAGAAAATGATAATTAAATTTAGAAAAAACAAAACAAAATGAAAGAATAGCAAAAATATTTCGCTAATAGTAAGGTTGAGCTTCGTTTAAATGGATCATGTCTCGAATGAGCGAAGAAATCAAGAGTTGGAACCGAGAAATTGTGTGAAGTGTCTGAATTTGTCAAGTTTACCTCTTTAAAAAGTCAGGGAAATAACTGTCATTATCAATATATTAATGTCAAAAATATGTCAAAAAGTCATTAAGAATAGAAATTGAAATAGCAAATTCATGTCTTGAATAAATTAACCTTGCTTTATGAAACTTGACCATTGTTAGACTTGAATTGAACCAAAGTGTTAAATGTCAGCACCCGACGAATCTCTGTTCTACTTGAAAGTGTTTTCTGATAAAAATTATTATAAAAGAGGTCATTGAAGTTTATAATGAAATAAAATTGATGCAGCTATTTAACTATGTCACAAATTAGAATCAATGAAACAAGAGTAAAATAAGTTTTTTTAAATATCAAATCCTGTAATTAACAAGGATTATATCAGCAAACGCTGACTAATGTTTCATTCATGACAATTTCCTTATAGATTCCTATAATTAGTCATAATAATGTCAATTAGTTTAAAGCTAAACTGCAATCGATAGTTGATTGAATTGGAAGAACATGCAAATAATAATTAAAAATGAATGATAAATGAAAAAGGATTGCTAGTGAAAAATGCAGCAAAGCTATTTTTATAAAACTAAATATCGAGGATAGAGAGAGAGAGAGAGAGAGAGAGAGAGAGAGAGAGAGCGACGTAAAAGAAAACAATTTAAGTGATAAGTTCAAAATTGAAAAAATTCCAAAATAGTGATGGGTTAATTTGTTATAAGAAAATATTTGTTACTCACTTCTTGCAGCAATTTTCGCTGAAGAGAGTCAATCTGGATATGAGTGGGCACTGTTTGTAATAAAATCATGGCTGATTCAACCAAAAGTGGCCATGTACTGTAACTAATCAGTGTGACCATTAAAATGGAAAGGAAGGGGTCAACGTATTCTTTAAGCTCCCATTGGGTGTAGATGATGATCAAAGCACTAATACAGACAATTACAGATCCCAGAGCATCAGCCATGACGTGCAAAAATACTCCTCTAATATTCATTTGAGCGCTACTACTGTGATTTACACGATTTTTCAGTGCTGTTGAGGATGCTGAGGATGAGGAGGGAGATAATTCAGTCTGAGTCCCTGATGGATGGATTGCTGATGTTGATATTGGTTCACGATCTTTAGAGATGATGTCTCCTTTCTCAGAGGTGAAGACTTCTTCTTGAATATTCAAGTGATTCCTGATCTCACCATTGTGCTCCTTATGGCTGTGACTGTGGCTGTGACTTCCACCATGACTGTGTCCATGTCCTCCATCTTGTTTGATAACGAGCCAAAGATAAAAAGATGTGCAAAAATATAGACAATTAAATTAGATCATAGGCGAATCTAAATTTCTTTAACACATAACATTGATAAAGGCAAAAACTCACAAGTTATCACTTGTCAAATTATATTAAATACAGGTTCAAGGCTAGAATATCTAAAAGTGACAGTGAAGAGCAGAGAAAGGAAAGAGAGAGATTGGAGAGACGAGAGACAGAGAAAGAAAGACTTTCACAAGAATGAGAACAAGTGCTAATTATCGAGTTGAAAAGCTATTAGAAAGTAGAGCTACCTAGCAACTTCCAATTTAAACTCGGAGGTTTTCTCAGAAAAAAGTGAAGATTTTTGACTTGTAATTTGTCTATTATTAGACTATCAAAGATATTTGTTAAGAAACCTTGAATAATAGATACATTTTTGACATGATAGGTAAAGAAAGAATAATGACGTTTGAAATAAGTAAAGAAAACAAAATGCAAGAATAAGGAGACTGAAGATCGATTGTGAATGGTAAAGATGATGAGAGTTTAAGGTGAGAAACCTTACCTTTGAAGAGAAAGAGACCAATAACATTAACAACAAGGCCAAAGAAGCCAACAACTAGAATTAAAACTGGTTGATGAATTTCTTCTGGGGTGTAAAACCTTTTAATTGATTCAACCAAAATGGAGAAACACAAAGCCACTAGGAAAACAGCGTTAACAAGAGCACCTAACACTTCAGCTCGAGCCCAGCCGAAAGTGTTTTTAGACCACTTTTTTGGTGACATAAGAACAGAGATGTATGCAATCACAAGGGCAACAACATCACTTAACATGTGGAATGAATCTGCTACCAATGCCATCGAATTGGTTATATAACCAACTATTATTTCGATTATAAAAAAACTTGTGGTCAAGGATAACATAAATAGTAGTCTATGTCGAGCACTTTTGTTGCTTCCCGTCATCTTGATGTTCACCAGAAAAAGAAGCACAAAGTAACAGATTTGTAACTTGAACAGAATTTTATGTTTTGCACATCGATAGTATTGCTAAGAATATCGATAGATATTGATGTTAGTGCATCGATTAAATTTATTGTGTTATGATATGTGATAGTCTTTACCACTTAATTTAATTTATAAATTGATATTTTTTTGAAGCTGACCCAATTTAAAACATGAGTTTGTCAACCTATGGACCCAATTCACAGGGTACCTTAACATTTCATGATCCCGATGAAACATATGAATTGGTTGGAGGTGATAAAGATAACTCGACCAGAAACCTTGTTGGTACATCTCTACTACGACAGCCAACAAGATCAACCAAATGGAAAGAAAAATCAATTCAAATCAAGACCTTGGGAGGTGGACATTTCAGATTTTTTACTTGGGTACCTGCAAATGACGATGAAGATAATGATTCTAATTCAACACAACAATCTCAACTTCAACTGGATATGAGTGAATATGTGACTGGTATCAAGAAAATACCCAAAGAGGGTATACCAGGAGTTGATCTATCTGATCCTAAACAATTAGCTGAATTCGCAAAAATGAAACCCCGTAAACCTTCATCGGATGACGATACTCGGACCATTGGTTGCCCACATAAAGGCTGTTCGAAAATGTTTCGAGATAATAGTGCGATGAGAAAACATTTACATACTCATGGTCCTCGTGTTCATGTTTGTGCTGAATGTGGTAAAGCATTTGTTGAATCAAGTAAACTTAAAAGACACCAATTGGTACACACTGGAGAAAAACCTTTTCAATGTACATTCGAAGGATGTGGCAAAAGATTTTCCCTAGATTTTAACTTGAGAACGCACGTAAGAATACATACAGGAGATCGACCTTATGTTTGTCCTTTCGATGATTGTTCAAAAAAGTTTGCCCAATCAACAAACCTTAAATCACATATTTTAACACATGCCAAGGCTAAAGCTAATAATTTATAACATGAGTTTGTCAACCTATGGACCCAATTCACAGGGTACCTTAACATTTCGTGATCCCCAGGAAACAAATGAATTGATTGGAGGTGGTACTCAAGAAACTGATTTTGATTTCATCGATTTACATTATCCACATTGACCCAAAGTCAATTTTCTTAACCCCTTGCTGGTGTAGGATCATCTGTAATATCAGGAGATATACATGTTGATGGTCAAGCTAGCGTAAGTTTCGATTTCCCTACATTCTTTATAAATGCTATTTCTTGAACAGGCTGTTCATCTTATAACCCATGTTGTTAATTACATTGTCTTTTATTGTTTTTTGGTTGATTGTCAAAGCTTCATTGAATGTGTTAGCTTCCTTTCACTTCAAATTAGCCACTTTGCTCTCTTTTTCAGAAAGTCCTTGGTTTTACTTTATACGCTGTTCAAATATCCATTCTTTTAATCGACAATATTTCTATTTACTTTTAACAATCAATAGGCTCATGGACCAGGAGACTTGGGACTACAGAATGTTACTCTTTTCTCAAGCTTTTGGTGAGCTGGGTTTTGCCAACTGAATGTACATCTAATTTCGTTCTCGACTTTGTTTGGAAATCTACATCTTGATAGGTAAGTGTTTCAATTTAAATTTGAATGATATTTCTAAACTTATTCTGAGTCTGTTTAAGTTCAGTCACTAAATTCAATGTTTTCTTACTCTTCTCATTCTTTTAATCTGTCATTTTAGGATGCAAGTTGCTCTTCGTCAGTTTGCTGTCGATGAATCTTCTGTTTCCAGATATATTTATCATCGTTTACTTGGACACGAAATCGACGATTTTATAATGAGATGTAATCTACCCAAGCACTTTTCTGCCCCAAATCTACCAGAATGATTGAGTTGAAAAATGATTAAATGATGAATTACAAATTGCTAAAACGATTTTATTTTTGGTAAAAAGACTAATTGATAATTTGGATCTGTAACTAATAAATTCAAAGTTAAAGAGATTGTAGGTATGACAAGAGTTATTTTCAGGTGACATTGATAGCATTAGCACTTTTGCATTAATTTTAGATCAAAAGCAAAGGCTTAGAAACTAAAAATCAAAATTAAAACTTGTAAATTATACTGACATAAATATTTGAATTGCTTTAGAGACAGTATTATTTACCAAGTGAAATAAATTGTGAGTCAATATTGGGAAGATTAATTGCAAAGTGGAACTTATTATTTTGCTTTTCTCAATGGTACATAATAATTTAATAATCATCATTGAATTGCACAGGATAAATAATCTAGTTAAGACTATAGTTAAGAGTGTGAGGTTTGAAAGAGGATGAAGGGTGAGAATGAAAAATGGGTTGACAAAGAGAATGAAAAGAACACAGCAAATTGTTAGTATTATATTCAATTGAGGTTGCTCAAAGATAATCAATTGTTTTCTTCGGTTCCAGTTGATAATCGTTTAACTGAAATGTTGAAACGGAAAGTGATCAATAAATAAAAAATAAATGTATTTAATTTGTATTTGCATTGATAGATAGATAAACGAAAACAATATGAACAAATGGAAAGTAAAGAGAGAGAAAAAAAACAGAAAATTAAAAGTCAAAATAATTTAAACTTAATTGGATTTGTTAGGTTGAGTAATTGGAAAAAATTGGTATTCCTTTAGAGTGAATTTAGTAATTCTTTAGCAATAGTTTATCCTTAATTAGCAAAATGAGCCTCAAGAAGAGTTGTGATGGTTGTTTGAGAGAAAAATAAAACTAACAAATAATAGAAAAGCTCAGAAGGCTGTTTGCAATCTTAATAATTTTATCATTTTAGTGTATTTTTGCTTCTTTATATCCACAATAATCTTAATCAATTTAATTATCATTAGAAGACAACCATCACGTTCTCTTTGAGTTGCTTCTAGGCAATGTTTTACTATTTGGTGATGTTAATTGTTTAACCATAGGCGGTGATTTATTTCCTTTAGCTATTGGTATCATAGATTTGAAAACGTTGGTATTGGCACCTAGCGAGGTTGGTCTTTTAGCAACTGGACCAGAAGTAGGTCTTAATGTGGATAAAGGTGGTTTGACTGGAACTTTTGGCTTAATTGGTAAGGCTAATGATGGTGAGTTGATCGTGTTTCCCGGTGAAGTCAATGGTGTTGCTGAAGTTGATCCTTGTTTGCTATTTTTATTTTCACATTTTGAACTTTTCACTTTTCCTACTTCATTATTTGGATTGGTGGAAAGTTCAGGTGAATTAGCTGATGATGATGATCCAGGTGATACTGTTAACGATTCCCATCGTTTTTTAATTACATTAAAACTCGAATTTTTCTTTTCATCTTTAAAATTGGTAAACTCATTTTTATCCCTATTTTCATTTGATTGACAATCATTTGTTCCATAGCGATTGGTCTCACCAATTATTTCTCCTTGTTTTGAACATTGTGCAGCTTCTTTCGATGACACGCACATGGATTCACTTTCTTCAATGACTTGTTCTTTAATAGGTTCATAAGGTTTAGATGGAGATGATAATCGAGTCTTGAGAGCGCCAGTATTTCCTCCTCCTCCAATTATATTTGTAAATTCTTTGACTGACATGCCTTTTGAGAGAAGATGACAAAGCCTATCAACTGATGGATCATCAAATAGACCATTAGCCATTGAAGAGGGAATCTCATTTGGCATGACATTTGTTGACATTGATGATCTTGCTCCTTGTCCCTGACAACACGAATTAGATGAATGATGAGCAACATGATGATGATGAGATGACTGATAAACTTGAGGTGAAGGTGGAGTTGGATGTGAGTAAAGGTAATCATGGTGCGGATGGGAATGATGATAATAAGGTTGAGGTTGACAACAATTTAAATGACAAACAGGTTGGTTATGGCATACGCAAGAAGGCATAGTAACACTTCGAGAGATAGTGTTACGGTATGAACATTCAGTTTCAGGGTGATTTCCATATTCTGAAGGCTCTTGAAGCGAGTGTCTCTTTTTTTCTCTGCAAACACATCCACCGGTGTTATCCTCTGCTGGACATTGGTAACTGCCATTATCCAATGACCTGCCCGGCGTCAACCTTTTACGGGGTCGAAGTTTAACTTCACCCTGAGGACTAGATTCAATGTTAGGATCTTTAAAATTACTGCTGAATGGGTTAGAGCTATTATTGTAAGCATCTTTAGCAACATTACTTGAGTTATTAGTAAAAACATTATTATTACTATTACTATTATAATTATTATTATTTGTAGTATTATTTGCACTTTCTCCAAATTGCTTTCTATTAATGTTTTCATAATTTGATTCTCTCTTTTCTTCGCTTTCCTGATCACCGGTTTTCACTTTTCCATCACCTTCTAATCGAGCAATCAATGATTTAAATTCATTTGGTAGTAGAACTTTCAAAGAATCCCAATCTTTGATATGATTAAAGCTGCGGTTAGCAATCAAATTTTCATAATCAGTACAAGATTTGGGTCGAGCTCCTTTACGTCTAAGAGGCCTTTTAACTGGCGGAGTAAGCTCGCGAATGGGTAAATTCAGCTTAGTGGGTGATAAATAGACAGCAGTCGGCCCTTCTTCTTTCGGTGTACAAGGGCATGAAAGATTTCGAAGAAAACTTAAATCTGGGAGAGAATAATTCGGGAAACAAACGTACAAAGGTTTACGTTGATCATTTGGTTCTGTAGGTGATTCTTTGGCAAAACTTGACAATGGTATTTCTTTTTCTCGGACAGTGTTTGTCGGATATTCACGAATAATGAAACTTGTTGGGCCTGGTTCATCATTAGACTTGTAAGTTGTTTGAACTTGCTTATCTTGTATATGAACTGGAACTTGAGTTGATGCTGTTTTCATGGTGGTTACAGAAATTGAATATTTTTTAGACGATGATGGAATAGAGCCAGAAGAAGATGAAGGGTTAAGAGGATATTGAGATGATGGTAAAGGAGGTGGATGAGATTGAATTGGATTAGCTTTACGATGCCATTCACTTGATCCTTGGCGACTGCTTAAGTAGCCACTTGAAACAGAGCCAAACTCTCGACCTGATGAGAATCGTATCTTGTTCATATTTGTTGAACCATAATCAGAGCTTCGTCTTATATTGTTTGATGTACCAGATGAAGGGCAGCCACATTGATTAGACATGAAACGATCAACCGAAACACTTCGTCGAGCTCCAATTACATCTCGTTCATGAGGAGTATTTTTGTTGCCATTATCAAACTGTGGAGACCATTGTTGATTATTTAGTTTACCCTTGAAGGGTAAACCATTTCCATGATAAGATTCATCTGTACCACTGGCAATAGCTTCATCAGCTCGTGAATTATCCGTTGTTGCATCTTCCTCTCTGATAGGACTTGCTTGTTTCAATCGACTAAATCCACTTTTAGGAGTCAAAAGGGTTACATGACCTTCAGAGACTAAACTATCTTCAAAATTATTCCAATCTTCACTTAAACACTGTTGACCAACTGTTCGTTTAGTTGAAACTCGAACAGTACTCTCTTTTTCTCGGTAACCTTGATTATCTCGAGGTGCAACTCGATTGGATGAGACTTTGGAAATTCCATGACCAGAGACCATTCCATGACTACGAGGTTCACTTGATTCAATGAAATGCCCTTCAAAACTGGTTGAAGAAGACCCTGGACTACTTGAAGTTGGTGATGTACGATTTTTAATGAAAAGTCGTATCAATGATCGAGGTGGACTAGCCTCACTATTTGATGAATTGGTGGTTGTATTTGACTTGTTGAGATCATACAAAGGAACATAACTTCCTAATGGAGGAAACAAAGATTCATCACCAGTAATCACGGAGGCTACCTGAACAATATTGGGTAAACTCTGGCTCTGTTTAGCAACAGAGCGAAAAGGATAGCGTCGTAGTTTAACTAATTCACGTCTACCATTTGAACCAATTGGTCGTCTTTTCACCATATTCCAAGTGGTATATTCTGATTTAACCAGATAATTGTCATTATAATCATCATCATCGTCTCCATCTGCAGCTATATCCCCATCAAGGACAATGTTAACAGTACCATTAGTCTTTCGACGTCTCAAATTATTTAAATTAAATTTGGTTGCAGCATCACTTTCCTCTGAATTGTTTTTAGTATCATCCGCAGAGTCCGAAAAGGTTGTTATAGATGAAACACTTTCCTCGAATGCAATTGTATATTTGGTTTTATCCTGTTCACGGCAGCGTAAAATCATCTCATTGGTATTATCATTTTCCGAGGAACTAAAATCCAATGAATCAACTGAAACACCAGATAAATCAATACGAGATCTTGAATAAAGACCGGGCAAGCGTTCACTTCGCATTGTTGCCGAGGATAATGCTTTTGAAGTCTCGTCAATCATAGAGGAATCAAAAATAGAACTAGAACCATTTAAGTCAATGCCATGACTGTTAAATCTCTTGGAGCTGATTGGAAATAGGAGTCACGAAGAGGAAAGGGAAGAAGAGAGAAAGAGAGAGTTGATGTTATTGATGATGATAATGATAATGAAAACAAGGCAATAAAGTAAAAAGGGAAAACGAAGAAGACATAAAATGCATGAAAAACAAAATAAACAAAATAGGAAGGAAACAAGTTAATGGTTAGTATGATGTATGGTTAGACATTGGAAGCATTCTGAGCAAAATCATGCAGTAATAAAACATGGTGTACAGGGATGAGTTTATCAGTTGATTGGCGTGAAAATGTTTCACCTTAAATAATGGCTATCAGTAGTGATCTCGTCCAAAAGGGAACCTGATACTGAGGCAAACTCTTCTCCGCCGTCTTCAACAACTGGACCACATGAAGAGTCAAGCTCAGGTAGAGTTGAATAAATGTGATTAATGTCTTCACTTCGAAAGGTTTCCATATCAATCTGGGCTAAAGTGGCATCAATATTTCGGGATAAAGCATGATATCGATTTAAATCACGATTTGATGACTCGCCGCTTGAAGATTCAATTATTATTGGCATGTTTTCAACGAGTGGGACTTTTTCACTAAAAAATGAAGAAAAGAGAAGAAGAAGAGTTAGTTAAACAATTTAATATGCAAAATCAATTCATGTTTTACTGTTAAAGCTTTTTGTCATCTTTATCAATCTGAAAGATGATTAAATTTTCTGATCAAATGAAACATTTTTGCTGAATTTTTCGACTAACCTTTGATAGGTTTCCTCATTAAACCAATGAAGATCGGTACTATCTTGCATAATTGAAATATCATTGGTTGTTTGTAGGTTAGCAGATCCATTAAATGAGCCTGTTATGGATTTAGTTAACAGCTGATCATTAATTTGTTGCTCCTCTTTACGCCGGTCACTTGTTTCTTGAGCTTCCTCTGGTTTTGAGCAATAATTTGAAGGACAGTCAGACTTTTCTGCAGTTAATTCTGTCTTATTACAGGATTGACCAGAAAATTCTTGGTCCAATATTAAAGAGTTTTCACCAGAATCTCCACTATTTGTCTGTCTTTCTTCTCCCTTTTTATCTATCGACAGTAAATTTGAAGCAGCATCTGAAAAGAGAATAAAAAAGCAAAGAAAAATATTTAGAATGAAGAAAAATTGAACAAGAATAAGAAGAAAAATGTTAACCTGAATATGAAATTAAGGAAACACACACACACACTCAAGAAGGAAATCACTTAAAAAGTCAGCTTTTTACACGATGATCGCAAGATGACAGAGTGATGAGAAGTGAAATTCAGTTTCCTTTTCTCACCCTGTTGAAGATGAGAAGACTAATATGAGAAGATGAAGATGACAAGAAGAGACAAAAAGAAAGATGAAACAACCTTTTTTTCACGAACAATTTAAATGGATACTTTAATTGTGACAACAATTTGAACCTTCAACAGTCAACCATTCAAACTAATGGCATGAATATTGTCAAAGTGAACAAGTTAAATTGCTAACAATTACCTTAAAATGGTTAAATTTAGATGAACATTTAAATAGTCAACAATTAACATCAACAAACTTGAAAACATACAACACTAACCATTATTGCATATTGAGCCTGAAACGAATGTTTTTTTCATTGGAATTTTTTCATTTTTATTTTTCCTTTTCCTAATCAAACCTTTCAGTATTGATCAGAACATGAAAAATATTGAAAATTAGTAAAAATCATGCAATTCGTTAATTAAAAATTAACCCAAAGCATTCAGTATATTTAACTGACCAAAAGAGTGGTTCAAGTAATGAAACAATAATAAGAAACGAGATTATTAATAACTTTGAATATACACTAATAGCAATGATAATGATGAACCACGTTTGAAGCTGAATTAAACAGGAGAATCAATAGTTAGCCTGAAATGATATAAAAGTGGTTAAAAGACTAACTTGGTTTATAATTAAATGATGGTTTAGTCAGTTTAAGATAACAAAAAAAAGTGATTAAAGGGTTTTCAATTGTTTCAGTAAAAATTCGTGTCCAAACACCAATTTTAATAGTTTACAAGTTTTTGCTGAAAATCGAGTTCACTGAACTTTTATCGTACTTTTCTGTTATGATTGTAATGATGGAAATTCATGAGAAATGATAACGAAAAAATGAGGTAAAAAAATGAGAATCAATTGAGTACTTTATGATGAATGCGATGATTGAGGTTTACCTTTATTTTTTGCCCACAAACCAAACTGGATTACAATATAAACTGCAATTAAGTTGGCATATTGTTTCAGTAATAAATGTCTCAACTGTTGTCTGATGGTATTAAATGACTGTTAATTACATTACAATCTTATTAACAATTGAAGAGCATTACCATTTAAATGGAAAAGTTTATATTAACAAGTGAATTAACCCTTTAAACACACCTTTTTGTATCGTTAAACAAGAAATTAAATTTGATGAAACAATGGTCTGAAAATGGACCAAACATGAACACAATCAGACATAAAAGCTAATTGTTTATTGATAAATCCTGATTCTTCAAGTGAACATTTTTTGTTTCAACTGAGCTTCATCTCTCAAAGCAATTGAAGATCAATTTTAATTGATACCTTTTCTGATTCTCTTGAAATTGTTATCCTTTTTATTTTACAATCAAGTGTGTTCAAATGATAATCAAGTTATTGATATCAAATTGCTATCATATATTGCAGGGAATTAATATTTCATACAAGAATGAATGGTTTCGGTTTGTTTCTCAAGTCTTCTTGTAAGTAATTTCAAGATTAACAATAATGGTTTCAATACATAACAATAATTATTAAGATAATAGTGGCTTAATTAGGATGAAACAATTGACTTTTCAATGTTGACTGTTTAGGTAAATACTTGAAGGTAGGTGAACTAAACATGGATTGATTAAAGTTTGATTGTTGATGTATTATGGTGGTGGTGATGATAAATAAATAAGGTTAGAAATGAGTAAGAAATGAAAAAAAAGGATCAATTTCAAATGAAATGTTTAAATTGAAAAGTAAAAAGGATTTGAGTGGGATTTTGATGGGAATCGGTAAAAATACAGTCGATCAAGTTGACCTGGTGAATGAAAGAAAAGGTAGAACGAATGAAAGATTAACAATCAACATCCTCCAGTCATAATAATCATCAAGCCCCAAATATATCAACATTTAATCCACCCTCAACCCACTGAAGAAGCAATGTATCAACCGCCATAACAGCTGAAAATACATCTCATTATACAATTAATAATGACGCAGAGTAAATTGTTTCATAATGGTTAACGGTTAAGGGCATAATCATTTGTCTGGTTACAATTATTAATTTACTAATTAACACTGATGAGGTTAGAAGCAATTATTTTACTGTTAAATAGTAGCAGTAACAGGCAACAATTAACAATTGTTAGCTTTTTTTGCTGGTTTTAAACTATTCAAGATTTGAAAATTTACCATCATTTGAATTAGCGGTAAATTGTAATTGTTGCTTCGTGTTTATTTATTATCATTAGTTTGCTCATTCATTTACAAGTTCAACAATCAAAGACATTGCAATTAAGCATTTTAAATTGATTTATTCTGAATATGGAATGAATGGGAAAAATGAATTGCTGACTATTTCATGTTTTCAAATGTTGAACACTGTTTTTGCAATGTAAATGAATGTAATCATAATTTTTATCCATTCAAATTGGACGGTCATTTTAATAAATTACAATTTAATTGTATTGTCACAATTGAAGTCAATCATCGGTGGCGAAAAAAATGAAAACTGAAAATTAGATTAATCTCAATACACTTTCTCAGAGTTCAGGTTTGATCAAGTTTACTAATCAAGAACTGTTGATTGTTGACCGTAAAAAAAGTGTTTCACTTTAATCGTGTTTTCATTTTTACTTGTTTTGATAGTCTATTGCAGTTAAAACAATGAATCTTGATAAATGTAAATCTTATTACAATGTTATGTTAACAAAAGGAAAGCAAGGAAAAGCAATTTAATGAAATATTCATACCATAAATGTGTAATAGTTGAGATAACAGTAATTAACTGAGTTTAATCACAACTCAGATTCAGATAATTTCAGTGGTTATAAGGAAGTTAAATCGATGAATAAGAATCCAAATGAAACACTAAATTAGGTAAACACTAAAGGCACAATAAATCCTTTGGTATGTTGATTACAATCGACAACAATTGTCAACAAAAGCAATGAACTCTCATTTTTATCATCCTCTTTTTTGGATAACTATTTACCTAATCATCCCTGGTTTGATTACAATTTAAACACTCACAATGAACATCACTAAGTCAAGTTGTTTAACCATCAACACTAAACAAAGTTGATTAAAAAGAGTGTAAAAAGATGGATAACTGGGTGAGATAATAGTGAGAGTTACCAGAAGATGTGAGAGAGACTGAAATGATGAAAACAGGAATGAGAAGATTATCATGGAAGATCAACCTATTTTCGCCCAATTTTGTCTCTCTTTTAGCTTCTTTCTTTTCCTTTCATTCGGTGCTTCAAAACTCGTTCTTTCTTCAATTGTATCGACAGTTGAATTGAGAAAAAAAAAGCTGGCTAACTTGACTGTTCATTGCGTGGGTTCATCTGGTTCTGAGTGAAACAGCAGCAACATGATAAATAATGAAGAAATTTTGACTCAAATGAAATATCCTGATAAAACTCCTACGACTATATTTACGATTAATTGGTGATCATCTCTTCAACTATACAAATCAAATCAAGTAAATTACACTGATTATCAATTATTTTTGTTATGTCTAAAGGGTAATCAATGCAGAGTCCGTTAAACATGACCATCAATCAAGACTAACCAACGGTTTACTTTGAAATAAAGTTAAACACTGACCATTACATGATTGCCGGTTTCATTTCAACTTGAATCAAGTTTCAACTGTAAAATTGTGGTTCACATTTTTGCATGATAAAACTAAATGTGAAAATATGATCTTACAATTGAATTGGTTGAAAATTTGCATCTTTTACATTTAGTTCAATCAAATGTTGGTGTTGATTAAGTTCAAAGTGGAGGCGATTGAATTAAAGTGGTTAATTTTGTGTACAAACATGAAATGATCATGATGATGGGACATTTACAGTTTGATGACAACATTATTTGGCAGTAAACAATCTTTTTGAAACTTGATTTTTTATCTACTAATCCTGGGATTGAAATTGAATGAGATCAACCTGAATGTGTTCAGATGAATGTCACATTCAGGGTTAAGAAAAAGTGACAAAAAAGGTTTTTTTAAGATGATAAATTCACTTGTTTGTGCTCAATAAATGTTAGTTTTTTTGTGGCTTACATTTAGACAGAAATTGTGACCTTTTAATCGGACATTTATAAGATCAACCGTTGAACTGATTCTCATGTTGATGTGAGTTTCACATAAAACCTGATAAAAACCATAAATTACTTACTAGGACACAACAGGTATTGTTGTTGACTAAATTGCAGTTAAATTAATTCAAATTGGCTAAATGAAAGGTTAATGTTGAAACAATATACTGTTTAATGGGAATGAATGTTTTGCCTTTTATAATTCAATGGTTGTTGAACAAACAACGGAATAACTAATTGAAATGTTGATGACGATATACTTGATAATTTTGTTGTTTTATTCAGTTGCTGTGGATTGCAGTGAATTAAACCATATTGGAAACTGGTTTGTTAATGATTAAAGGAAACTAATTGAATCAGGATGTTATCAATTGACTATCTGATGATGTCAATTTCATCAATGTGTTTTATCGAAACAGCTGAAATCAGAATCCTGACAAGGGAAGTGCCTTTGCTGGTACGATCATTTTCAATTTTTTTCGGGCTTATATTGGAGAGGGCAAAAAATAATTAGACACGTATTTTTGCTTTTGTTTCGCTAGTGCGCGGTTATTGAAATTTAAGCGCTTTTTATTAAAGATA